TGTGATTTGGGTGAAAGTTTACAGAGCACATTGGTTTTCATTCAACATTTTGATCTATGGCATTGATTGTAATCCCACACTGTAACAGCACTCTTCCCTCTTCCTCCCTGTTCTTACCATTTCCATTCATCCTTCTTTCATACCCCGCCCCCCCCCCCCCCACACACACACCATAAACTGGAACCTTCACTTGCTCTAGGACAGCCCCTAGAAAGGAACACACTAGAATAGGGTTGACCTAAACAGGAGGCAGGGAGGAGGAGTTAGGGGAAAAGTAAAGAACTGTTGTTGGAGTTTGGGGTAAGTGGAGAAGGAACAAAACAAAAAGGCAGATGATGGAGATTGTGCACACACTAAAATCATTTTCTGTATGGAGCCAAGATCTACTCATCCATCAGAATTGAAGTTTAGTTACAACAGGTCAGAATTTAGTTGTGGCTCTAAGTAGCACTCTTTGAAGACAGCTTCTGCCAGAAAGTTTAAAGACATTTAAGTACAAGGATCAGGAGACTATGAAGCATAAAAGGGATGGGGTCGGGGTGTGTGTGCCGTGGAGTCGGTTCTGACTCACAGAGACCTGTTTAGGGTTTCCAAGGCTATAACTCTTTATGGGAGCAGAAAGCTTCATCTTTCTCTCGCAGAACAGCTGGTAGTTTCAAACTGCTGACCTTGAGGTTAGCAGCCCGATTCATAACCACTACGCTACCAGAGCTCCTTATGAAAGGGATAAACAAAACTTAGCTAGTCTGATTTCTAGAGTCCAGAAGTAAAGTGTTAATTGCTTTGCACAAGTTCTGCTTCCGTGGGCCAATGGTTGAGCATAAGAAAATGTGATTTCTCTGCCCGCCTTCCCCTTCTTTCCTAAAAATGTACCTGCCAAGCAGGTTTTGGTCACATTTGAAATGGCGGGATTGCCACAGGACCATTTTGAATATGATTCTTGTGTTGAGGAAATCTTACAGTTAGGTGGTTGGAAACAAACCCATATTGACTTCACATATGACTTTATCGCAAATTATTTTACTTAATATATGGCTACTTCTGCAAAGGTTTAGGGTGCATTGACATTGCCTCTTTGCTTTTCCTGGTGGCTGCTATGAGAATTAACTTAAGGGTCGAAAGATTACATTTCAGTTGAATGCCTGAAACCAGGGCCAAGATCTGAATTTCAAAAGCACCCACTTGGTTTCTGAGGCCTGGTATGGTGCTACGGGTTAATGCTGAAAAGTCAGTTTTAACCTCAAGGTTGGTGGATCAAGCTCACCAACCACTCTTCAGAAACCCTATGTTGTTGTTATGCGCCATGGAGTCGGTTCCAACTCATAGCGACCCTGTACAAGGTTTCCAAGACTGTAAACCTTTATGGGAGCAGAAAGCCTCATCTTTCTCCCGCTGAACAGCTGGTAGTTTCGAACTGCTGACCTTGAGGTTCACAGCCCGATTTGTAACCACTATGCTACCAGAGCTCCTTTCAGAAACACTATACAGGGTTGCTATGAGTCGGAACTGACTCGAAGGCACTTAACAACAACAATCCACACTTCACTCATATTCAGGGAATAGTGGTATTATCACTCTCCCTTCCTTTCCATAAGGACCCCTCTTGTCACAGAGGTTAAGTAAACAGCTGCTATCTGAATGGTCAAAAGTTTGAACCCAAACAGCTGCTCCTAGAGAGAACAATGAGATTATCTGCTTCCATAAAATATTATAGTTTGGGAAACCCTTTGGGCAGTTCTATTCTGACCTATAGGGTCACTATGAGTCATAATTAACTTGATGGCAGTGGAGTTTTCCACAGCTGTCTGCTGCTTCTACAGGAGAGGTGCTGACAGCGGCTGGGATGACCCTGACTTCTTCCCTGTCTGAGATACCACTCTGAGTCCATCCAGCTCTGACCTTCCAGTCCTTCCCACTTCTCATCGCCTCATTCTCAGTCACTTGTGACAGCAGAAAGCAGTGTCCCGCTAACCACACATTTTCTCATGCTCTGTTCTCTACAGAATGGGTTGAACGGCCTGCATCTAGCCTCTAAAGAAGGCCATGTGAAAATGGTGGTAGAGCTTCTGCACAAAGAAATCGTTTTAGAAACAACAACCAAGGTAAGTCTTATAGGGAATGGGGGCACTTTTCATCTAAAATTCAAGCTCATGGGTCCCTAAAGTATTGTTCCGAACCCTGGAATAGACACCAACTTTCTGAGAAAAACTCAAAACTTGATTCTAAATTTGTCTTATTCTTCCAATCACTTTCTAGTTCTGTAAGTCCCGAACTTACTTGAAAATGCACAGCCCTGCTCCACACAGGTCCAGTAGGTCTTGACTTGATTCTCGTCACTAGGTTATAAATCTAAGTACATAAGCCTTATCCCAGTGACTCTATGCTTCTCAGGGTCCTTGGCTGTAATACAGGAAGGAGACTAAGTACAGTGGAAACCTTGAAGTCAGGTGTCTTGGGTTCAAATCCCAACTGAGATACTTCATACTCTAAGAAAATCTAGGTTGTTACTCAACCAAGGTGAAACCTCAGTTTCTACACCTGTAAAATGGGCATCCTAATATTATTTGCAGAATTGCTATTAAAATTAAATGTGATAATGTATACAAAGTGACTCTCATATAAGAAGGACTTAATAGATATTGGTAACTGTGAGCCCTGGTAGCGTAGTGGGTTAAGTGTTGGGCTGTTAGCTGCAAGGCCCAAAATTTGAACCCAGCAGCTGTTCTGCAGGAGAAAGATGGGCTGTTTGATTGCATAAAGATTTCCAGTCTCAAAAACCATACTGAGCAGTTCTACTCTGTGTCTACGATCACTATGAGTTGCACTTGACTTCACGGCGCAGTGGGTTTGGTTTTTTGGTTATGTTGTTATCAAGGGCCATAGGATTTTAAAAAGAGTCCAGATCCTTCATCATTAATGTAAATCCAAATCATAAAACCAAACTCATAGCCGTAGAATTGATTCCTATTCATAGTGAACCTAATGACACAGTAGAACTGCCCTGTAGAATTTCCAACATTACTCTTTATAAAAGAAGACATCTTTCTCCCACAGAGTAACTGGTGGGTTTAAACTCTGGATCTTTCAGCTAGCAATCAAGCACTTAGCCACTGCACCACCAGGGCTCCTTCCCAAGTCCAATTCCTCCGATTTCTCCTTCTCCAGCAAGTCTTTCACTGTTTAGCCCCAAATCTATTTCTTTTCCTTACCAAATACTTTTGAATAGCATTCTCTCTTTCTAAGAGGATATGGCACGTGATACTATCAGACCTCTCACAGCAATCGATTTCTCCCCATCTCAACAGATTATTAACACCAGTTCCCAAACTGTAGAGTTGTGAAACTGATGCTCACCCATGGATTGAGAAGTCAGTTTTATTATTTATATATGTGCATCTTATTAGTTTATTAAACAAGATGCAGCCAAGCATTTCAAAACAAGACTAAACAACAAAAAACTATCGTATTTACTAACTCAAATACTGTGTCCTCAATTCTTGCTTTCTCTTCTTTCCCCATGTTACCTTCCCATGATTTTCATTTTGTTTCTCCCCCGCCAGCGTCTCATTTTCCATTTGTTATTGATTAAATATGGTCTCACATACAACCTCAATTGCAGTTCCACACAGCAGCTTGCCAGCTCTCGAGCAGAGAACACAGAAGAGCAATGTGTAGGGAACAGATATAATTTATGATTCTGAAGTGAGCTACCACAATATTATGAAGGTAGAATCATCTCTTGAGGTAAAAATTCTGTAATTTTCATGTCATTTCATGAGCATGAAAAGATCCCTCTATACTTATTGGTAAAATAAACTGAGTTGTTCTTTCTGTAGGTATTATGGGCATTTTTTTTCTTCCTCAGCCCATGGCAAATGCCAATTGCTTCCATTCTGCACCTTTATGTGGATGGAGGGGATGCAATGATTTCTTCTTTGGATGCTTTCTCATACCTGGCTGCAAGCAGCGTGCCATCTGACAGGCTCGGTGTGCTCCAGAGAGCTCCTCTCTGCCTGGCATTTCACCAAGAGCTGCACGAACAGTATGCTTCAGCACTTTTACTCTTTCTGATTTCTCCCCGCCCTTTTGATTGTTATTTTTCAAGTGAACACTTGGTGTGTCCTTTTTATTTATAGAAATTTTGTAAGCCAACGTGGTTTTGGAATACCAGACAGAGAAGGAAAAATAAAAAGAGAGAGAAATGGAAACCGTGGGCTAGGGAAGAGTTATAACAGATTGGGGGATTGTAATGGGTCTCCCAAGCAAGAGAAAGATGGTTTTTGGTTGGTTTTCTTTTAAGGTAACAACAACAACAACACACACACACACACAAAAACAAGATACGTTCCTCAACCGTGCTTGGAAATGTTGAAAGCACAAAATGAGCATATTCTCTCTTCTACCTCCCATCTCTTTCCCTCAGAGCCTGGAACTCAGCTCCAAAGCTGTTCGTTCATTCAGACTGGCATGAGATGGCTTGCATATCGACTGAAGAAAAGCATTCTTTCTCACTCCAGCTCTCTCTCTCCTCCTTCCATGTGGCTTTTCCTCAGCACCTGCTTCTGCCATCCTCCCCTCTATGAGCTCTATGACTCTCTGAAAATGGAGAAACTGGGCTTTGTGGATTACCTAGCTCAGCACTAAGTACTTTTTCCTGCTCCTTGGAGGGCATGCTCTTTGGTGGTAAGGGAGAGGCAGAGCAGACAAGGGTGATCACCATGACCCCCTCTGGGGCTCCCCCAACCCAGGGTCAGAGACTTGTCTTGACCCTTGTAATACGTATGTGTGGAAAGAGTGGGTCCAGTTCCCAGGGTCTTCCCTTTGTTCGTATTTATCACCAGTGCTGCCCTCAGTCCATGCGGACAGTGGCATGGACCAAGATTCACAACCAGCCTCCCACATCTGAATGCTTTTCTCCAGTGGAAATTCAAGCTCTCCACTTGTTAGTCCTCTCCTTATAGGCAAAAGGGATATAGTGCGGATATAGTTTGATTTCAGGTAGGAAGGGTCAGATGAAAAGGAACATGCAATGTGAGCTTCATGAGAAGCTCATGAAGCATATCAGTCCAGTACACCACACACAAACATACACACACATGTTCAGTGTTTGATGAAGGGATGAATGGAAACAGAAGCTTTCTTCATCTAAGTGGGGAGACAGTAAAACTCCACTTGAAGTCCAGAGTCTTGATTTCTAGACAAGGTTATGTTGCCAACAGCCCTGTTCCACTTGGTGCCGTGAGTGAATCAGACCCAAGTGCCAGAGCCTGTAAATGTAGGCTCTTTGGACTTCTATGAAAAAGTAATAATTAGCACCTATACATTCATTTCTGACATTTATTCTCTGACCAATACTTGAAGAAGAAGAACCCTTTTGTTGATCAAGTTGGACTTTGATAGAAATCAAGGAAAAATCAAAAAGAAAACTTCAGGAATCCACTAACAGGAAACTCCTACCTAATTCAGGTAGTGTTTTTATAATTACATGAATTACTAAGCGAAGTATAAGAAAGAAACACACAAGATTCCTTCTAGCCACTTTCCTTTGATTAGGCTGCCCGTATCTACCAGTGGACGCTGGAGCAGTGGTGACCTGTGACCACAGAGTTTGGCCCCTTATTCTGCCCAGTTCCTTGCCAGGAGAGAGCTTTTCTTCCAGGTCACAACCATTGAAAACCCTGTGGAGTACACTTCTACTCTGACACACACATGGCATCACCATAAGTCAGAATCAACTCAACAGCAACTGCTTAACAGATGGTCACAATGTGTGGACTGATTTTATAAAGTCCTGCTGGTCTGCCCTTAAGTTTCCTGACATATAGATAGTGTTTATGTAGCTCAGTTAAAAACTATACATTGCCTAAATAATGAAAAATCAAGTCAATTGAGATCTCTGTCCCTTAAGTTGCATAGAGACAAATGGATCCAGTTATGGTTCGACTTCCTCCAACTTATCTTATTTGATGGAAGTTGTCAAGCAGAGCCACTCACGCCCAACTCTCACTATACAGGCTGGCAGTGTGGGCCCTTGGAGAAAGTGCTGATGTTCCAGCCCCTGGACATGGTAGGAAACTGGGAGGATTGGCAGAAAGACTGACCAGCTAAGGTAGTTGCCATTCTAGAAACACAAAAGTTCCTAGTTTAGAACCTTGTCCATAAATTGTTGTTTAATTTCCAGAATGAATGAACTCATTTTCTTAGAAACTGCCTGTTTTCTTAGTCTCTAATTTTGCTTCTTAGCTCTTCAAAAGTTTACTTTAAAACTCTCAACTACATGCCTTGTCTTCTAGTGTTTTTCTGTCTGACTTTCCTCTTCTGTCTTACTTGGTGAAGCCTTCCTTATATATTTTGCTTATTAACACTTCAAATCTTTGTATTTTCCTGTGGTAGTTTTTCTTTCATGGTATTCTACTTATTTCCCCATTTATCTTTATTTTCCTAACCAACTAAATGGCACTTAACAACAACATCATATCTTTATATGCTTTTTCTCACCTCTACAAACATTATATAGTTCTTTTATCAACACCTCCCAACTTCTCTACACATTTTTACATTTCCTTTTCTATTTACTACTTTGCTCACTCTCTTCTATTTTCATATTCATTGTCCTCTTTGGTCTTGTTTTTGGTCCATGGGCCTTACCTTTCACAGCATCAAGAGTTGCCCACCCACCCCACCACCCCCGACCCCTGCATTTGCTGGTTTCACAGAGGCCTCTGTATCATGCTGAAGAATTATGGACTGAGATGAACCAAAAGTTGAAAAAGACTAGACCTTGCCTGATGAACATTATAATGTGTGTTCTGATGAATACTGACTATTTTCCAAGCCAATAACAGAACACTACACCTGCACTACACATACATATTAGGTGTTGAGATTTTTTTTTTCTTTACTTTCAGAGATATTTTTCATGGAGAATGGGAAACATTCATCTATTTCTGCTTTTAGGACTATTTCAAGATGTGTGGTGGACCAGGCACACACATGTGTGTTTTGTATCCCATGCAGCCATAAAGAATGACTGTTGCCAGTCCCTCCTTCTCTACCCACAAGGCACCCTGATTGTGTATGTTTAATAGTCACTTATGACTCAGGCCCAATGGGAAACGTCCTCTGCTTCTTCCCTCTGATGTGTTTCAGAAGGGGAACACAGCCCTACACATCGCCGCCCTCGCTGGTCAGAATGAGGTGGTCCGGGAGCTGGTCAACTATGGCGCCAACGTCAACGCCCAGTCGCAGGTAGCTGGCTGGAGAGTGTTGCCTCTTTTTTCACAGAGATGGTGGGCACATTGGCTATAGCACTAGTCCACACACAGTATTGATTTATCAGTAGCATGTTTCTTGAGCAATCATGAACCCAAAACTAGTTATCATCAAGTTGATTCCAACTCATGGTGATCCCACATGTGTCAGAGTAAAACTCTGTTCCATAGGGTTTTCAATAGCTGATTTTTTGGAAGCAGATCACCTTTCTTCCCAAGTACCTGTGAGTGAACTCGAACCTCCAGTTTTTGGGTTAGCAGCCAAGCACATTAATTGTTTGCCCCATCCAGGGACTCCAAGTAGTAATGGGGGCTTCCTTTATTAGCATGGTGGGGTTGGGTCATTGTGGGCCTCGTTGCTGTTCAGTAGACCATATATTTAGTTTTGGCTCATTAAGGGAGAGACACTGCATGTGTGTGTGCATGGCGGGGGTGCTATGGGGGGAGGAAGGATAGAAAGGGGAGGTGAAAAAGAAAGGAGTGAAAATGGAGGCAAGTGAGAGTGCTAAGAGGCTGACTTCCGCTTATGAGGAGCAGAGACACAGACTTCCATGGAGTACCGTCTCCACCTTGTGGCCTTTTGCAATAATCCTTCCTATGAAGCCAATGCAAAATGACAGTGAGTTTATTTACAACAGGAGATCCAGGTGGGGAAGTTGCCCCATAGACTAGGTGAAGATAGGATGAAGAGAGAGCTGTCCACAAGTTTAGAGTTTCTTGCCTGTTTGAGCATCATTTGCTGTTGTAGATGGATTTTAATGACTGTTTCTCTGCGGTTTACAGAAAGGCTTTACACCCCTGTACATGGCAGCACAAGAGAATCACTTGGAAGTGGTAAAGTTTTTACTGGAAAATGGAGCTAATCAGAATGTTGCCACAGAAGTAAGTGCCTTAGAAAAACAGACTCCCCACGGAAAGTCTCCCAGGTGAACAGCGTTGTTGCTGAGCAGTAGCTTCCAGGGACATGGCTGGAGATACATCCTCTTGTGACCAGTGTAGACCCTTGCGGAGTCAATCCTATGTGCTGTCAGACTCTGCAAAGGAGTATGAGACATAGTCATGTGTCTTGAGGAATGCCCAGACACATGCCAGAGAAATGACCTCAGAGTCTACTTTGTCTTTCCATGACAAGCAACATAGAAGTGTGTTTGTGTATGAGCAGTAGCTTCTGTGGACATGGCTGGAGATGCATCCTGTTGTGGTCAATGTAGACCTCTGTGGAGTGTGTGTGTGGTTAACAAGTATGTCTTGATCCTCAATAGAAAAAGCTCTTCCCATGAACCCATTGTACACCTTTCTTCACTGGTGAAATAAAGGAAACTGAATTAGATTGGCTAAGGCTTCTCTTGGCCCTTAGCTTTGGATGACTCAATGATTGTTGTTAAGTGTCGTCGAGTCAGTTCCAACTCATAGCAACCCTGTATATGGTTTTCAAGGAGTGACTGGTGAGTTTGAACCACTGACCTCATGGTTCAAACTGACCCTTCGGTCCAGTGTTTTATCCCACAATACCACACCAGGACTCCAACCTTAGACTGGCTAAGGCATCTCTTGGCCCTTAGCATTGGATAAGTCAACTGTTATTCTACTTCATGGGTTCATGGGGCCTTGTGTCCCTCAGTAAACAACTGAGGAAATTGATCATAATTGCACACAGTAGAATTCACCATGACTAGCATTGCTTCTAGTAGCTGGTAAGTGTTTAATGATATTTGTGAAATGAATAAATGAATAGTAGTCGGCCATGTTCAAGGCACTAGTAGATGGGGTAAGAAGCAAAGAAGTTTCTTAAAGCATTCAGACTCGAAACAATTATAAAGATTATATACAATTTATAAATGTACCAACAATTAAAAATTAAATCTGTGTTTAAAAATGGCTGGAGGGTTCTGTAAGATGGTGGAGTAAGAAATAGGGTCAATCCAGGTTTCAGGGAGGAGGTGGCATTTAAGCTGAGCTTGAAGGATGAAAGGAGTCTGAAGAGCAGAGCGTTGGAGGAAGGTCATTTCAGGCCAAGGGCCTGTTGTGAGCAGGAACCCTGAGATGTGAAAGTGTGTGTCCTGTTTTGAGGGCAGCAAGTGGTTAGATACAGTCAGAGCAAATCAGTCTTTTCTCTCCTCTGGCCAGGATGGCTTCACTCCCCTCGCTGTAGCTTTGCAGCAGGGCCACGAGAATGTGGTGGCACACCTCATCAACTATGGGACGAAGGGGAAGGTTCGCCTTCCCGCCTTGCACATTGCGGCCCGAAACGATGACACCCGGACAGCTGCGGTGCTTCTGCAGAATGACCCCAACCCAGACGTGCTTTCCAAGGTGAGGGAAGCTCCGCAAAGAATGAGAAAAAAACTCCAGGGCTTGGACCACAGAAACCCATGAGTTAGAGAGCACCAATTCCAACAAGTCCCCAAGAATTGTCTAAGAAGCTGAAGTGGGTAATGGACCTAGACTAAAGGTGATGCTGGCTGTGCAACTGAGCACAGCATACCTTCAGATTTCTGCTAAGAGAGCAGAAGAACCTCAATAGACAGGCCCACTTTAAATCCCTGGTGAACTCTGGGACTAGTGTTCTTGGCAAGGAGCAGGGAAGGTTCTTGTTGTTCTGGGTCATCCAGAAAAGGGTCGAAGGAGGACAGGTTAAGTCTGTGGCCAGAGGGAAATTTTGGAATCCCAGAAGTGGGTGGTATTAAATTTTACCTGGGCTCTTTTCACCTGGCTGTCCTCTGGTGGAGGGAAGTGACCCCCATACATGGAAATGAGAATGCAGAATGGAGAAAGGGTTCCTCAGAGGACTTGAACAGTTTGTATTCTGAATGCACTGTTTGATGTTTTGAAGCAGTGAAATGCTAATCCATTATCTGTAAACTCAGATTGTTAATTATATATCCTTTAATGGAAAGGATTTACATGGAGTTATTCACAGAATCCCCTGGCCCCATCCCATCTGTTACCACTTGTTTTCTCTGGATAATGACTGACTGGGGAGTTATGGAACAGAATGATGAGAGTGGACCCCAAAAGAAGTCAAGGGTGTGCCTTGGAATCACCAGCTGGATCACCAGACCCCTTGGAGGGTTGAAATAACCCCTAGAATTAAGATCATGAATGGCATAACTTCCATTAATTCATTAAAATCTCTTCATAAATTGTTATTCAGATGAATAAGCCCTACAGAGTCTAAGGTAATCCCAGACCATGGTTTATCCACATAAACCATGAGGCAAATTATGGGAGTGACTCAGAGCTGGTACCTAGCTTTTGAAGTATCTTTTAATCCCTTTGGCAAATGTTCCCATAAATCAAGAATCTCCTTTATGAATAGGGTCACCTGGTCTTACAACTTGTTCAGATTCTTTGGGCTGATTCTGATGACATGACTGTACATCACATAAAACAAGCTTTTTTCCTCACTGTCTCTTGTGCCCCAGACGGGATTTACCCCACTTCACATTGCAGCTCACTATGAGAACCTCAACGTGGCCCAGTTACTCCTCAACCGCGGAGCCAGTGTCAACTTCACACCACAGGTAACACCCACTGGCAGGTCCTCCCACACGTCTGGGCTTGTCTAGGACCACATTGCTCTGACTAGCCTAGTACCATAACATTTCATCTATACTAGAAAAAGGCCTCTGGGTAAAACAGTCTGCTATCTACCCAGGCTCCTTGTGAGCAGGTTTCTGGTTATCTGACCCTCCATTTCCACCCAGTTTGTCTTAATAAAGCACTGATCTACACTTGCCTAAGTATTAGATGTGGCCTTGCTCCCTCTCATCTCTGGGCAACTAGAGATGAGAAACTCAGAGAGTTTCAATTTTCAAGTCACTGGCCTACTGACCTTTACTATGGGAGACTTGGACTTGGCCATCTTGGTATGAACCACCCTGCTATAATGTCTCTGCAGGTTGTAAAATTTGTTGGGGGGTGGGCAGGAAGGGACATGGGGAGCCGGGTGCACAGCAACACCATTCAAGAGAAGGGTATTGGCTCCTGATTGCTTTCTGCATCTTCCCCCTCTAGAACGGCATCACGCCGCTGCATATTGCTTCCCGCAGAGGCAACGTGATCATGGTGCGGCTCCTGCTGGACCGGGGGGCCCAGATAGAAACAAGGACCAAGGTAGGTGCCAGCAAGCTCAGTAGAGAGGTCAGGAAGGTGAAGCTCACAGGAAGTGTGACCTAGTTCCGGATGCACCACCAGTCTCCCAAACAGCCTGCAGCACTTGCCTAAGTGCAGTGGGAGAGCTGAGTAAGACTGTGCTGAAGGTGCGCTGGTCCTTAAGGAAACAATCACTTCCGGTGGTCTGGGAGTGATGCTGCAGATAGTCTTCTTGCCAAACAGCCTCTGATAATTGCCTCTTGGGCTTTCTGTTTCTGACTCTGTCTTTTAAAGGATGAATTGACACCTCTCCACTGTGCAGCTCGGAATGGGCATGTGCGAATCTCAGAGATCCTGTTGGACCATGGGGCGCCCATCCAGGCCAAAACCAAGGTGTGTGCCGCCTTCCTGTGAGGAGCATCTTGGAGGCAGGCCTCCAAGTCAAACAAACCTGGGATCAAATCCCATTTCTGTAAAATAGAGATGATAATACTACTTAATGGGATAATGCATGTAACATTAACCACACTGCCGTCACACTGGGAAGAGCTGGGCACAATGATCATTATTATCTAGATCATGCTTTTCCTTAAAGGGCCAGATATTAAATACATTCATCTTTGTAGGCCACAGTCTGTTTCATCGATTCAACTGTGTCAATGTAACGTGAATGCAACCATAGGCAATATGTCAGTGAGTGGCTGTCTTTCAATAAAACTTTATATACAAACACAGGTGAGCAGTCAGAGTGGCCTGGAGACTGTCATTTGCCAATCACGGATCTAGATCAACCCTTAATCTCTTTTATCTTGGCTCCAGAAAAGGCAGGTCTCCAGAGCTCTTCAGGTTGTAAGAGGAACCAGTCACTGAGAAGTTTTATGGGCATGACCCAGAGTGGTCTGAAATAAATCAAAATAAAACAAAACAAAAAGTTCTTCCAAAACACCACATCAAAAGCTGATCCTTGTATTCTAATGTGATATCTTGAGTTTTTCTGGACTGAACGGTCAGACTTTGCAATGCTGCCTGCCTGAATCTTCTTCAGGCTCTTGCACTACTCTTTGGGGTGAATGTAGAATGTAAGAGAAAGGCAAAAATCAGGCCCATTCGTGACCCCTGAGGAGGTTGTCCAATCAGCTCTCAGTCATGTAATTACAGCACAGTCTAATCTATTTCCTGACAAAATATCTTAAACATCTATAAAGTTGTTATCTTTCATTTGAGGCATGATTCACACTACCTAAGCTGACCCTTTTGTTCATGTATATGTTGGGTGTTGATTTGTTGTTATTAGTCCATCCTGACTCACAGCAAGCCCCTGTGAGGAGTGGAAGTCAATCTTCTGCTAACCCAGTTCATTTAATGTTTATTCCTCCACCCAGTGCTTATTTGCTGTGTGACTTTGAGCATGTTTCTTACTCTCACTGTACCTCAGTTTCCTCTCTGGAAAGCCCTACCTGTCTTTGCTAGAATCGTTAGAATTATCACATGAGATACCGTCTTTAGAAATACATACCATTTAATTGCAAGTCCTTGGATGAATGAAGATCAAGCTGCTGCAACCAATTGTAATATTAGGTCAGGCAATTCTCAGAATTTTTCCACAGAGGTCCTATTTTTAAAACTTACATAAATGTACCTAAGTTATTAAAGAATTAAAGTATTATCCAGATTATTAAACTAGGATGAAAAGGGATATTTATGAAAATTCTTTACTAAGCACGTTCAACTTTCCAGACAACTGGGAAATATGATATTGCCTTTCTAAAATGTAATGAGTGATGACCACCCTCTGCTGTCATTCAGTCTGATTGTGCTCCTTCCTTGCCAAGAATCCTTCCTTACATCCTCACTTTCTAAAACCTGAAGACCGAGTTCCTTAGCAACTCATATGGTTTTCATAGTTCAGCTGCTCTCTACCTTTGCAGCCCCAGATTCATGCTCCCTCCCACATCTTACTCTTCTGCATGTTAAACCCCATAGAGATCCCTGAGTATCCCTGGCATTGCTGGGATACTTTGCACCTGCTTTGCCTTTTACTGGGTTATCCTTCTTCCCTCTTGTCTGCCTGGTGATCTTCCATTCCCACCAGGGAAGACCTAACATATATACCGCCCCTCCAGGAAAACTGTTCCCCATGTTCCTCCCTCATCTGTGATTCTGTCTTACCTCTGTGCTTTGATTATGCTTTCACCTTACAGTCTCACACTGAAAGACAATTGACCTGTATTCATGTCTGTTATCTAACCAGTTGCTGTTGTTAATTATAAATGAATGGTGACCCATACACACAGAGTTTGAACTGGGCTACATAGAGTTTTCTGGCTGATTTTTCTTGAAGTAGACCCCCAGGTCTTTCCTTTGAAACATCTCTAGAAGGACACAAGCTTACAACCTTTTGGTTAGTAGCTGAATATGCTTTCTTTGCACCATCCAGAGACTCTGTGACTTACCTATTAATCTATAAATTTCCTTAGGCCAGGGATTATGGCTTATTCTCTTCTGCTTCTCGAGATCTTAACCTGTACCTACTGCACATCTAACACTTAGTAAATATTTGTTGGATTGAAATTTGAGTTAACGAGTGACTGAGTCTTCTCTGCTTTTAATATGTTGTTTATTAAAACAAAACAAAACAAACAAATTACTGTTTGAGAAATCCTTAAAAGGATTTTTATGTGGTGTGAGTTTGTTAAGAGCAAAGAACAGAAGGATGTAAATCCAAATTCAATTTCATTGCCATTTTTTCAAAGCCACATTATGGACCACTTCAAAACACAAGGTGGACAGTTCATACCCACCAGCTGCTCCTCAGGAACACTCTATAGGGTCGTCACTATGAGTCGGAATTGACTCAATGGCACTTAATAACAACATGTATGTTAGAGTCCTGGTACGGCACTGGACTGAAAGGTCAGTTTGAACTACAAATTAGAGGTTCCAACCCACCAGCTGCTCCTTGGAAACCCTACACAGGATAGCTAGGAGTAGAAACTGACTTAACAGCACTTAGCAACATGCGTGTTAAGGGGAGCACGTAGCTCTGTATGATAATCACTGGATTGAAAACCACAAGATCAGTGATTCAAGCCCACCAGCTGCTCCTAAGGAAAAAGATGAGGCTTTCAGCTGAAAGAAGTACAGCCTTGAAAACCCTATACAGAGTCACTATGAGTTGGAACAGACTCGATGGCACTTAACAGCAACAATAGTGTTACGGAGCCCTAGTGGCGTAGTCATTAAAGTCATTGTTGTTAGGTGCCATTGAGTCAGTACTGACTCATAGCAACCCTATGCATAACAGAACAAAGCACTGCTCAGTCCTGAGCCAACCTCACAATCGTTGCTACGCCTGAGCCCATTTGCTGCTGCCACTGTGCCAATCTGTCTTGTTGAAAGTCATCCCCTTTTTCTCTGACCTTCCACCTTACTAAACATGATATCCTATCCAGTGACTGGTCCCTTCTGATAGTATGTTCAAAGTATAAGAGACAAAGTCTGGCCATCCTAGCTTCCCAGGAGCAATCTGGCTGTACTTCTTCCAACACAGATCTGTTTGTTCTTATGGTAATCCATGGTACTTTCAGTATTCTCCTACAACACCATAACTCAAATGCATCAATTCTTCTCTGGTCTTCCTTATTTACTGTCCAACTTTCACATACATATGAGGTTATTGAAAATACCATGGCTTGGGTCAAGCGCACCTTAGTCCTCAAACTGACATCTTTGCTCTTTGACACTTTAACGAGGTCTTGTGCAGCAGATTTGCCTAATGCAATACGTCATTTGATTTCTTGACTGCTGCTTCCATGAGTGTTGATGGTTGATTCAAGCAAAATGAAGTCTGTGACAACTTCAATCTTTTCTCCATCTATATAGATGTTGTTTATTGACCCAGTCGTGAGGATTTTTGTTTTCTTTACATTGAGATGCATCCTATACCGAAGGCTGTGTTCTTTGTATATGTAGACATATGGATATTCTCCTATCACACACAATGTTGTACTTGAAGACAGATTTTGATATGTTCTTTTTGATGATGAATGAGTCACCATTCCTCTTCAATTTGTCTTTCCCGGCATAGTAAACCATGTGATTGTCAGATTCAAAATGACCAATACCAGTCCATTTCAGCTCACTGATGCCTAAGATATTGATGTTTATGTGTTTCGTTTCATTTTTGACAGTTTTCAAGTTTCCTAGATTCATGATTCATACATTCCATGTTCACATTGTTAATGGATGTTTACAGATGTTTCTCTTCATTTTGAGTTGTGCCCCATCAGGAAATGAAGGTCCCAAATGCTTTACTCCATTCATGTCATCTTGGTCATCTACCTTGAAGAGGCAGCTCTTCCCCACTCATAGTTTGAGTGCCTTCCAACCTGAGAGGTTCATCTTTTGACACTATGTCTTACAATAAAATGGTGTTCCTCATCATATTCAATATTCAATATTCTGGTACTTACAGTATTCTACTGCTATTCATAAGGCTTTCAGTGAGTAAGCATTAGGAAGTAGTCCATCTCTCCTTCCTAGCCTGTGTTCATCTGAAAGTACAGCTAAACTCTGTTCTCCATGGGTGACCCTGCTGGTATTTATGATTGCTTGGCATAGCTTTCAGAATCACAGGAACAAGTAAGCCATCACAGTATGACAAACTTACAAGACGAGTGGTGGATCGTTAAAGTACTTTCTTCTAACTGAAATGCTAGTGGTTTAAACCCAACAGCCGCTTTGTAGAAGAAAAAATGAGGCAGTTTGTTCCTGTAAAGCTGTAGTCTTGGAAACTCTACAAGACACTTCTGTTCTGGCCCATAGAGTTGTTGTGAGTTGGAAAGGACTCATTGACAGTTGGTTCGGTTTCTGGTTTGGGGTATATGTGTTGCATGCAGGTTCTAGGCACTGTGGGACATATAGGAAATACTAGGCACAGTCACTGACCTTAAGAACCTTATAAGTAAGGAGAGAAGACATACACGTCTGAAAAGTTAGCTATGAGTACAATTAAGCAAATACATAAATAAGCTGTGGTGATGCAATACCAAAAGCCCTCAGGAGACTGGGGTGGGGGAAGGTTTCATTGAAAGACTTGGCCTAGCTTGAGCGCTTTGGGGATTTGGTTGGGTGGAAAGGAGAATTTTTGTAGTCAAGAGCTTGGAGTTCTGTATGAGCTCTGTTCACTCAAGAACCATGCGTGAGCACTGTGTAAAGAAGAAGTAGAAAGTGAGGTTGGAATCATTGTCCTGAATTCCCATATTCTGCCCCCAGAAGCCTTTGTGATTGCTTGTTTTTCCTTCCTCACCCAGAACGGCTTGTCCCCAATTCACATGGCGGCTCAGGGAGACCATCTCGACTGTGTCCGACTTCTATTGCAATACAATGCAGAAATAGATGACATCACCCTGGACCACCTGACTCCACTCCACGTTGCAGCCCACTGTGGTCATCACCGAGTGGCCAAGGTCCTTTTGGATAAAGGGGCCAAACCAAACTCCAGAGCCCTGGTGAGTGGGAAGCTGTTGGAGAAAGTGCTGAGACGTGTGGGCAGAGGGGGATAGGACCTGAGCTGAATGGTTGAACCTGGAGGGAAAGGCAACAGCTTTCACCTCAAACTGCTGCGAAGATTCAGGGCCTCAAAAGTGCTCCTGCTTAGGCTCAGGAGGTGAAATAGTGCACGAGCTGGGCAACAGCTTGGTTTTTACTCACCCTTCCATGCTCTGCTACCCTACCAGCTGGGTGTCACCTCTTGCTCTCAAGGACCAGGAAACAGGCCGAGGTCAACGGTGGTTTTGGACCCAGAAGACCTGACTCAGGAAGTGGAATCTGTAGGATGCATGTAGGAAGGGGCCGCCTCTCCAGTCTGAGCCAGGCTCAGAGTTCAGGAGCAGGAATTTATTAGACACAGCCTGGCTGTTGTACCTATTTTGGGATGGCCAAAGTGGCCTGAAGTGAACATGCTTCCTCTGCAGAGAGACTTACAGTTGACAATTTCGTGGCACTCCAAGGGATGTAAGTTTAGACCTAAAGCAAATTCCCACCTGTGGTTATGATTTTGCTCCCTCCTCCCTCAGCCACGGATTCCCTCCCAGGGTCTGTGAGGGTGTGGTGGGGCTGGAACTCTGCACAGAGCATGCCCATAACACACCATCTTCCCGTGGCCATTCACAGAAGAGGAGAATTGCGAGGCAGGATCTTCTCCAGAGATGGCAGAGGGTGGCTCATCCATTCATTGAAAAAAAGCTTTCACTGAGAATTTACTGCCTTCCAGGCACTGCTCTATGGCAATGTTTCTCAACCTTAGCACTACATATATTTGAGGCTTAATAATTCTTTACTGAAGGAGCTCTGGTAACGTAGTTGGCTACTAACATCAAGGTCAGCCGTTTGAAACTACCAGCTGTTCCACAGGAGAAAGAATGAGGCATTCTGCTGCTGTAAAGATTTACAGTCTTGGAAACCCTATACAGGGTGGTTATGAGTCGGAACCGACACCATGGCACATAACCAACAACAACCAATTCTTTATTGAAGGGGGTTGGCCTGTACAGTGTAGGATTATTTGCAGTATCTCTGGCTGGCTTTTACAGGAACCCTGGTGGCACAGTGGGTTAAGTGTTATGCTGCTAACTCCCATTAGCCTCTCTCTGGGAGAAAGATGTGGCAATCTGCTTCTGTAAAGATTTACAGTCTTGGAAACTTTAGAGAGCAATTATACTCTACTCTATAGGGTTGCTATGAGTCAGAATCAACTTGGAGGCAGTGAGTGTCAACACTCGATGCTAACTCGATGCAACACTAGATGCTAACTCAGAGGCAGTGAGTATCAACACCTCCCCTCTCCCAAGTTGTGACAATTCAAAATGTCTTCAAACCTTGCCAAATATCTTCTGAGGGGCAAAATTGCCCATGCTTGAAAACTATTATCCTAGGAGGATAAAGTAGTTTTGTTTTTTTTTTTAAAAAAGGCCAACTCCCTGTCCCCATGGAGTCTATATTCTAGTATATCACTTCAGAACTGAACTGATATACAGAAATCCACTTAGTAAATCCATTTAGTAAAAAATGGTTTCAGGAAAGAGAGAATATGATCTGCCACACAAAAGTACGCCTGAATGTAAATTATCCCTTTAAGGTAACTTCAAACAGTGTTGTTGTTATGAGCCATGGAGTTGGTTGCAACTCATAAGGATCCTACATAGGGTTTCCGAGGCTGTAAATCTTTACGGGAGCAGAAAGCCTCATCTTTCTCCCACGGAACAGCTGGTAGTTTCGAACTTCTGACCGTGAGATTAGCAGCCCGATTCGTAACCACTACACTACCAGAGCTCCTTTACACTAGGCATATCCAAAAAACAGGATCACATTATATAAACAACATGCTCAGAAACATGTCTGACCCATAAGGGAGAGCCACTTGTCTCTTAAATGATTTGTATTCATTGGCATTTTATTCTCTGGGCATCTTCTAAGAGGATGCCTTTGAGAACAGCAAGGTGATATTCTGGGTGTTCTTTGGGCTGCAGTGTAAGCTCTCTTGGTTGTTTCCCTTTGTATGGGCCTGCAGAATGGCTTCACCCCCTTACACATTGCCTGCAAGAAGAACCATATCCGTGTCATGGAGCTGCTGCTGAAGACCGGAGCCTCAATCGACGCCGTCACAGAGGTAGGAGAAACTCCGTGGATAAGCATACAGCCCCTACCCTGTGGCCTTCCTCCAACAGCATGCATGTCTCCCTCCTCTGCAAAATGTTTGTTGTCACAACACTTGTGCATGGCTGTGGGGGTGTATACAGGAAGCCTTCAAAAAGTTCATAGAAAACTTCCATTATTTTTTAGTTTCATTTTTCTACAAACTTAATTTTTTAATTTTTATTGTGAATTGGATGAAGGTTTACAGAGTAAATGTTTTTCCCTTCAGCAGTTATACACATTTCTCTTTGTCTAATTGACTGCAATTCCCACAATGAAATGTCTCTTATCCTACTTCTTCCCTGTCCCACGAACTTTATGAAGCTCCACCCACCTCATCTTATCTGTATGAGCTAGAAATTGAAGTGTAGAGTACTCGAAAGAATAAATCAGGGTTAACTAAGTCAGGGAATATTTTCGTGTTTTAGGGAGCTTTCCTGGTATGGCACCATAGGATAAGCACTCTACCTCAAGGTCACTTTGAACTACAAAATCAGTGGTTCAAACTCACCAGCCACTCCTTAGAAACACTATACAGGGTTGCTATGAGTTGGAACCAACCAACAGCACCAACACGGGAGCTTTCCAAGATCAGATGCAATTATTCCAGTTGTCAAAGTGGGCAGAAATTGCCCCACAGTGATTTTCCTCTAGCCAGTTTCTGGGTTTCAAACCTACCTCATTTACCTCCCTTTTCTTATAGAACCATTTGTGAAGTCTCTAGAGATAAAAAGCATTAATTATGGTCTTGCGTTCTCACTTCTTTGGTGGCACCGAAAAGGTTTCCTTTCTCACCTCTCTTGTGTGTTCACAGTCCGGCCTGACACCTCTCCATGTGGCTTCCTTCATGGGGCACCTTCCCATTGTCAAGAACCTCCTGCAGCAGGGAACATCTCCGAATGTCTCCAACGTGGTAAGTCAGAGGGACAGCAAGACTCTTTCCTCAAGGGGGAGCTCCCACTGGTGGTAGTGGTGGTTATGTGCCGTGGAGTCGGTTCTGACTCATAGCAACCCTGTACAGGGTTTCCGGGGCTGTAAATCTTTACGGGAGCAGAAAGCCTCATCTTTCTCCCGCGGAACAGCTGGTAGTTTCGAACTGCTGACCTTGCGGTTCGCAGCTCAATTCATAACTACTACGCTACCCTCAAGATCCCTCCTGGGGTGGAATTTTCAGACTAGTCAGGGCCTCAGACTTGAAGAGAACATCCCCACATACTGTTTACCCAGTGAAACTTCCCACATAGCTGCAAATCTTGGTGTTTTTAAGGTTTTCATTTTTTTAGACCATAATTTGTAAACTTCTGTGTTATCTAAGAATACAGTTACATTGTTTAACATTCATTAGCTCTGAGATTTGCCTTTAAGTGTATATAGAATATACACACACATACACCCACATATGCATGCATGCTTACACCAGGTTTTGCCAGACTAAAAGAGCTGTTTGATTGGGTAACGCCACCTCTTGGATGAAAACTTAACAAGATTTTCCAAGCTGGTACTTTGGCTCGCTGTATGTGTCCTTTTGGAAACCCAGCATGTATTAAGACTCCTGTAATTTTGTTATTTTAAAGAAAGTGGAGACCCCATTACACATGGCAGCCAGAGCAGGACACACAGAAGTGGCCAAATATTTGCTCCAGAACAAAGCCAAAGTCAATGCCAAGGCCAAGGTGAGTTTTGGAGGTGGGAAGGGAAGCATCCTAGAGTGTAAGAAATTCAGGTGCAATGGGGAGAAATCCTAATTAGAGGACCAGCTGCAGTGATTGCAGCACAAAGATCGCTTGTCATCTTTATTTAGGTTGCACTAAGCTCTCCGATTTTGCAGGAGATATTTTTGTGTCCTAGAACTATGGGTTGTTTTTTGTTTTTTTTAAGATCATGAAATCTTCAGATGCAAGAAGCACAGCTAAGCTGGCCTGCAGTGCTTATTGGGTTGTCAGGGTTTCACAAGCATAGCAGTCACGGTCTAGGGAAATATGCTACTTTTTGAAGAAAATATGGTCAGTGAACATATGTCAGTTACCTGACCTAAAAATGGTTGATTCTTCTTCTTGTAAAATCCTTTTTTGAGGGACTAGGAAATCGAAGAGTTTCTCTGCTGAGTTTGCAAATTGATTGGATGTTTTCCAGAATAGGTTTTCCTAACCCAATAGACACCAGAAAGCTTCATTTCGAGTTGAGACAGTGATTTGTGTTTGGGCTGTATGAGGGTCGCCTCCCTGCCCCATAATGCCTTCAACCATCAGGCATAAGCAGGAAATGGGGCAGAGGGGGTGGATACAAAGTTATGCACCCCTTTCAGCAGCGTCTTCCACAACCTCTGGCATAGAGACAATCCAAGTGGAATTCAAACAGAGGCGAGAGTGTCCACTCAGGCATCGTGGTGTGTGTTTTGAGGGGGAGGGTGGACAGTAACAGCAACCACAATTTATTGATTTCTTATCTGTGCCCAGAGTTCCTGGGTGGTACAAATGGTTAACATACTCAGATGCTAACTAAAAGATTGGAGGTCTGAATCCATCCAGAGTTACATCAGAAGAAAGATGATCCACTTCCGAAAGGTCTATTGAAGCACTGTTCTACTCTGACACACATAGGGTCACTATGAGTCAGAATCAATTTGATGGCAACTGGTTTATTTTGTGTCAGACACCATTCAGAACACTTTGTTCACAATATTAGCCTGATATGAACCAGAATTCTGTAAGATAGGTATTATTATTCCTGTTTTACAGATGGGAGTGTTGAACTTTGGTGTTGTTGTTGTTGTGTGCGATTTAGTTGAGTTGATTCCATCTCATAACGACCCTATAGGACAAAGTAGAATTGCCCCATAGGGTGTCCTAGGCTGATTACGGGAGTGGAGTGTCATGTGTTTTCTCTCGTGAAGCCGCTGATGGGTTCAAACTGCTGACTACTTAACCATTGCACCACCAGGAACCCTTGAGCCTTTTGATTGTTGTTGTTATGTGCCGTGGAGTCGGTTCCGACTCATAGCAACCCTGCACAGGGTTTCTGAGGCTGTAAATCTTTACGGGAGCAGAAAGCCTCATCTTTCTCCTGCAGAACAGCTGGTAGTTTCGAACTGTTGACCTTGCAGTTCGCAGCCCAATTCATAACCACTATGCTACCAGAGCTCCTTTGAGCCTTTTGATAGTTAAGTGGAAATAACAAATAATTTGAAGAATTAAATAAGGTAGAGGATATTGTTTTCTTAAATCAGACTCCTGATTTGAATCCCAGCTATTCATCTTACTAGCTGTGTGACCTTATGAAAGTCACTCAACTTCTCTTGCCCTCACATCCCTTCTCTATAAAATGAAGAGTTGGATTAGATAAGCTTAACATTCCCTGTTCTTTGTTTTCACTTCGGGGTCCAGGATGATCAGACCCCGCTTCATTGTGCAGCTCGCATCGGCCACACAAACATGGTGAAGCTCCTGCTAGAAAACAATGCCAACCCCAACCTGGCCACCACCGCTGGGCACACCCCTCTGCACATTGCAGCCCGAGAGGGCCACGTGGAAACAGTCTTGGCCCTTCTGGAAAAGGAAGCATCCCAGGCCTGCATGACCAAGGTATAGCCAGCCTCCTCCTTTTCTCAAGAAGCCACAGGCTGGGTGGGTCTGGCCTGTGTGTGGGAGGGGGCACCCTACCCGACCCTCTTTGTTACCTTGAAAGCAGCTGGGAGTGCTGATGCTCATCTGTGTACCTTTTGTGCTGTCATCTTTCCCTAGTAAAGTAGTGAAACAGTTTCTCCTGTACTCATCCAGCCATCGTCTGCTTATCACAGAGTACTTATTTGTTGAGCCATGTGCTCTAGGCATGGATAAATTCTGAGGATTCAACAAAAATAAGACTCAACTCCTACCCTCAAGTAGCTAGCATCTAAATAGTAAATGATGGCTTTATTGCATCACAAAAGAGGCACAAATAGTGAATGTAAAGGACGTTGCTGATTCCCAAAATCCTTGGCCTCTTGCAAAGTTCAAAAATTGCTTTGTCCTTTGTTTTACTGGCATCTCCATGCCACTTAAAGTGGTAAACCTCTGTTGCTATAGACCCTATCTCCAGAGAGGACAGCTGTGTTTTCCCATAGTCTGATGGCCTGTGTTTCTCCTCAGAAAGGATTTACCCCTCTTCATGTGGCGGCTAAGTACGGGAAGGTCAGGGTGGCAGAGGTGCTGCTGGAACGGGATGCACATCCAAACGCTGCTGGAAAAGTATGTTTGAACTTCCCTACCTCTAAACTTACCTAGTTAGAGGAAAGAACCAAGACTAAACTTGATTGCTTGTGAATGTATCTATTGTGTAAACTCATTTTGTTTATCTTGGGAAAAGAACCCTTGGAAAGACTGATCTTTCTGTCAAAGCCCTTGCCATTTAAAAAAAAACAAAAACTGGTAGCCCACTCTAAGTACAGGGGTGGGGTACCAATAAGCAAGGTAAGCACTGGCTTTTTCATGCTTACTTACTAATTTGTTGTAAGGTCTGGAGGAAGATAGACACCAGCCATACCTCAAAGCAGAATCTTTGATGTGGTGAAAAACTGTGAAATTGTTCACTACAGATAAATGTGAGCCAATATAGTGTTTTGATCACCCTGCCTTGGTTTCCCTGGTCCAGCTCATTGTGATTTCCAATGATTCCAGGTCATGACTGGCTCTGGAATTAGATTAAAGGGAGATATTGAGGGTTCGGTGGTAGAATTCTCACCTTCCAAGAGGGAAACCCAAATTTAACTTTTGGTCAATCCAATCTACTTCAACAATCAGCCAGTGAAAACCCTCTGGCTCAGCATGGTTTAATCTTATTGTGCATGGGGTTGTCAAGAGTTGGGGGGCCTATTCAACAGCAGCAAGCAGCAACAACCTAGCTAAGGAATCCCTGCAAGTCAATCGATTGGAGTCAGACTGTTCTCTTTTGTGTTTTGCCCTTTTGTAGAATGGCTTGACCCCTCTGCATGTGGCTGTACATCACAACAACCTGGACATTGTCAAGCTGCTGCTTCCCAGGGGCGGCTCCCCACACAGTCCTGCTTTGGTAAGGCCCTGTCTTTCTCTACAGACTAGAAGCTCTGAACTGAGATGGTCTCCTCTCCTTGGTCCTTGCCACCTGTCAGTTCTTCAGGGAGGGTTGTTTCAAAAGCAGTTGAAGAATTTTTCTGTTTCATTTTTATTTTTACCTCAGAAATCTCACCTTGCTTTCACAAATGTTACCTGCAGTATAGTTGCCGCTATTTGGGGACCAGGAGTGAGATGAGAAGTGGGTAACACTTCTTAGCAACAGGTTTCCAACCAAGGTGAAATTTATTTTACACAACAAATGTATTTCCCCAGCAGCTGCATGTCACCTGAGTTTTATAAACTGACTCTCAAAGTTCAACACATAAAACTATCTATCTCCTGGGAAGTGATGAGTCTTGGGCCCAGAGATTCTGATTCCATGGGACTTGGGGGAGACAGAGAAATTTCAGTTTTAACCAGCTCAGTTCCAGGTGGTCTAATGCTGAAGGCACAGTGATCACACTTGGATAAATCTGCCAGGCTGTGGGAGAACATACTGGAACTTTGCACCAAGGAACCTGTTATGAATGGAAATAATCACCCCAGATTTATTTCTTTTATGGAGTTCCGTCTTTTAGAACATGGTGCTTTGTTGTAGTTTTTTTTTTTTTTTTTTTTTAATGAGGCACACCTTTCTATATTACACATCACACATATGGCCAAAAAAAAATCCTCGGAAGTGAACTGCTCAGCGCTGTACCTCTATTGGCCCTTGTGGGAACCAAAGATAAAGGGTGCAGACAAGAGTCGCTTATGTAAGAACAGACTGGGCTAGAGAAATGCGAAGTGAAGGGATAAAGGCCGGAACACAAGTGTTGTTTTTTGGGAACAGGCTGCCTCCCTGTGGGAGCCTGAACAGTATGGGCCATCCTTGCCCGTATGGGTGTAGTGTTTGTATGCAGGGGGGTCCGGGTGGGGAAGAGGGCGCTGTGGAAGGTGGGGACAGAGAGCAAAGAGGGGCTTTAGAGGAAAAAAAAAAACCGAGAGCGCGCAAGGCTGAGTGATACAAAGACCGGCGCAGTCTGATAAGGCAGCCACGACCCATGAGAATCAGTTGGGTCATTTATAAGAGAGCAAAGTCCTGCACTCAGGCTGCAGAAGGAGCAATGGGGTGACTCCGCGGGTGCTTCCTACGGCCACCTGCCCAGTGCTGGACGGATGCCGCCAAGTTACTGAAAACCAGCGCGGGCCTGCGTTTCCTTTTTTCCCTCCTGAAAACGCATGCTCTTCCTAATTTCCCGGAGTCACTTGTCTGCAGACTCACCCTGTTTCCTTGGGCTTCTGTCTCTGCCTTTGTTGTAGAAAGCCCCACGTCACAGTGTAGACTGAGCAGGCGGCACTGCAGGGATGTCAATACTACCTCTAAAAATAAAAAGCTGGCCCCCAGCCTCCTCACTCTTCTACTTACATAAAGGAAACTGGAGCCAGCTTCTTGATATTTAAGGAGCGCTAAATCCAAGCACAAACTCTGTACAGATGGGTTTTGTTTCCATGGCAAAAAATACTTTCCAAAGTCGTCTGACAATTTTGTAGAATTTCACATGCAAAGCTCTCTGCACCCAAACCAACTCTCCCCTTTCAAATTTTGATGTTAGTGTTGTTTTAATGTTTTGGCAAATTTCTCTCTTGTTCATGCCTTTGGAAAGGAGAGGCTTTTTCTGCTACACATCCCTCCCTAACCGCTCCCTGACTCATTATTTTATTGGGTAGTTCCTCTTTGTCCTTGTCACTACAGAAGGTCGTTCATTTCCTTTAGCCTGGTTCTGGTGACGCTCAGAGGGTTGTAGTTCTCCTGAGACTGATAACTTGCTCTCCTATCTGGGTTATAACCCCAGGCATGTCCAGAGCAAATTTACCTGTGTCAAGGACAGAGTGCTGTCTCTTCTTGCCAGTGTGGTTGTACACAGCTGACCAAGTGGCCAGAACTCCTGATTATCCTTCCATGAATGTACTACAGATGGCTCCAGCTACTGTCCTTGAAAGAGTCCCAGTGACACACCAGTTAAGCATTCACTGCTAACCAAAAGGTTGATGGCTAAAACTCACTCAGTGGCTCAGCTCCCATAAAGATACAGCCTAAAAACCCCAGGGGGCAGTTCTGATCTGTCACATAGGGTGACTGTGAGCCAATGGATTTGGCAGTGCCCAACAAAAACAACACTGTCCCAGTTACATGTAATCAATGTCTGCTCTGGGCCAGGCACTGGCCAGGTACTTCACTGCCCCGCTGTCTCATCCTGACAACATTGAGCACACAGACACTCTATAAGCTTGTCTCAGAGCCCTCACTCCCTGCCCAAGGTCACACCGCCTGAGGTGGTACGACAGGCAGGAAGGAGCCCAGGCTCTCCACCTCCAGATCCCAAATGTGATCCATTACTGGTGCACATCTCTCCCCTTGCCTCTTTTTAGATACAGTACAAAATCGTTTTGTTCAGTTCACTTTATTATAATCAAAATGCCAATCCTGTCACATGGATCCAGCAGACAAAGGGGGAGGGGAGTCTGATGTTTTCTGGTCATTAAAATTAAAGAGGAACACAAGAGTGATTTACATGATTCTTCAAAGAGAATACTTTTTTTTATTCAACTTAATTCTTAGAGAAAATTACAACTTTTCATTTTCCCATAAAAATCAATTTTACAAACTGGCCCTGTCCTATGCTGTAAAAATGGGATTTTACTGTTCTGTGCCTCTTTTTTTCACCTTACTTTCCCTTACCCTGGCAGAATCAGAGGTGTTGGCTTCCACAGTAAGACAGAGACTGTCAGGGAGAGAATTCGGTCCTCAGGGATGCCCAGAGGAATGCTGGGTAGGGTGGAGAAACCCCTTACTATAACTTACTATAAACTACATATTAGGTAGCCATCTACCCAGAAAGTCCTGCCCAGAGGCCCTTTGGCCTGGCCTTCCCCTTGGCCTTGAGTGCGTGCTCTAGGGCCTTGCCATTCAAAGTACAGTCTATGGGCCAACAGCATCATTTGGGAGCCTATTGGTTGGTTGGTTATGTGCTGTGGAGTCAGTTCCAAAGTGACCCTGTACAGGGTTACCGAGGCTGTAAATCTTAATGGGAGCAGAAACCTCATCTTTCTCCCACGGAGCTGCTGGTAGTTTTGAACTGCTGACCTTGAGGTTCGCAACCCGATTCATAACAACTACACTACCAGAGCTCCTTAGGGAGCCTATTAGAAATATTTAATCTTGGGCCCTGCTAAATCAGGTGTTTTTTTAATAACAAGATCCCAGGTGATTTGTATACAGGTATACCTCACTGGACTTTGAAACACAAGGTCAGCAATTCACTCCCACAAGCTGCTCCTCGGAAACCTTATACAGGGTCACTCTGAATCAGAACCAACAGCACTTAACAACAATATTTTAGGTCACTGCACTTCACAGATAGTGTTCTTTGTTTTTTACAAATTGGAGCTTTGTGCCACCACCCTTCAGTGAGCAAGTCCATTGATGCCAATTTTCCAGCAGCATGTGCTTAACTCATGTCTCTGTGTCACATTTTGGTAATGCACACAATATCTCAGATGTGTTCCCTCCTAGTGCTCTTGCACACCTAATAGACTGTAGGATAGTGTGAGTAGAACTTTTGCATGCACTGGGAAACCATTCGTGTGACTCCCTTTTTTGTGATATTTGCTTGATTGATCTAGAACCACACTCGCAATATCTCCTAGGTTTGCCTGTACACATTGTCATCTGAAAAGCACTGTTCTAGGTGAAGGAACTCAGGATGTGGAATCAGAAGACCAGGGTTGGATTATCTGTTGTTGTACTTACTAAATGATATCAAATAGGACATTTAGTGGGATAATACTAAAATGCTTGACTCTGAGTGCAAATGGTTAATGTGCTTTGCTGTTAACCAAAAGCTGGTGGTTTGAGTTTACCTAGAGGCACCTCAGAAGAAATGCCTGGCAATCTACTTCTGAAAAATCAGCCATTAGAAACCCTGTGGAGCACACAAGGGGTCACTGTGAGTCAGAATTGACTTGAGGACAGCTGGTGGAGGTGGGGTTTTTTTGGGGGGGTTTATTTACTTACCTTATGTAGTTGCAGTGAAGTTCAAAAGGGAGAATATAAGTGAAAAGGATTTTTTTAAATGAAGACCAAAGTAGCTAGTGTGTAGACTGTTGTTACCTCTCTGTAATAGAATAAGAAACTTGTCCAGAATACAAATCCTTAGACTGCCTCCTTCATTGAGAAAGTCTTGCAAACTCCCTACCCTGCGCCACCCCCCCCCAAACACATCAGCTGAATAAACAGTGCACGGTGCATAGCTTATTTACTTTTGAGCCAAACTCTTTACTCTTATAATGAATGGTCTTCAAACCAGTAACCCACAGATCATGTTCAAAGCAGCACTGTAAAACCAGGATACAAGAGTTTATTATTTTTATGCCTTAATTTTGGAAACCATTTTCATGTATATTGCATATCTGATCCACATCCACAAATTTGAGAAATGAACAAGTAGATGTTACTATCCACTTTTGTTGTTGTCAAGTACCATCGAGTCTATTCTGACCCATAGCGACCCTGTAGAGGGTTTCCAAAGAGCAACTAGTGAGCTTGAACCACCGATCTTGCAGTTCAAATGACTTTGCAGTCTGACGCACTAGCCCACAGTGCCACACCAGAACTCTACTATCCACTTTTAAGGGGGGTTTAAAAAGCAAAAGGAAGCCAAGATTGTTAAATATTTTGCCTCAAGCCCATAACCAGTTAAGTAAGGGAGGAACCAGGCCTGATCCTCATGTGTTCAAGCCTCATACCCAGTTTGTACCCCTTTACACCATGCTGCCTTTATGCAAGCCAGGCCAGAGGGGAACAGGTGGCCCAATTGCTCAGGGAGAGAAGAATAGTGAACCCTTTCTTTTATGAAATGGCTGAGGACTTTTCTGATTGTTATTGTAGAACGAGGTAATTTACTTGCTTACCTAGCTTTCTTCTGGCTGGTCTATAGGCTGCCTAGTTGATTTCTAGATTTTCTTGACAGAGCACTTCCTGCCCATTGGTTTGTTCAAGTGTGATAACAGAAAATAGAGTCAAGAAAGAGAAAGGAACAAGACATTTCTGGCTATGGGAGCCTTGAGAGCTATCTCCTAGTCAAATAGATTTTATTTGTTTGTTTGTTTACTTAAATTGCTTTTCTGGGTGACACCAGCTCTGCTCAGTGTGCTCCGCTCATCCGAGCAGATGAAGATTTGAAAGTTAAGGCATGAGCCCATATTGTTAGCTTAGCATTCCTGTAAGCAGTAATGGGGTGGTTTCCTTTATTTCAGAATGGCTACACTCCTTTGCACATCGCTGCCAAGCAGAACCAGATGGAAGTTGCCCGCAGCCTGCTGCAGTATGGGGGGTCAACAAATGCGGAGTCGGTACAAGGAGTGACACCTCTCCACCTGGCTGCCCAGGAGGGTCATGCAGAAATGGTTACTCTACTCCTTTCCAGACAAGCCAGGGGCAACCTGGGGAACAAGGTAAATGTGGCATCTTCTGATTTGCCCTGTGGTCTCAGTGATGTGTGATTGTTAGCTAACTAGATATGCTACCTGAATATTGAACACCTGCCATGTGTCCAGGTTCTGGGTTAGGTAATGATATATATGTGTGCGGGTGCATGTGTGTATGCATGTGTATGTTTGTGTATGTAATCCCTACAACAACCCCGTGCACGTTTTAGCTCTGTTTTATAAATAAGGAAACTAATTCAAACTCAGTCCCAAGGTTGCAATGTCCCAACCTAATTTGTAGTACAATTTAGGACAGACCCCAAGCCTATCTGATACCAAAGCCTTTGCTGATTCTGCTACACCATTCTGTCTTTCCAAATAGATTGACAAGAATCTGCAAAGAAGATCAATATTAAAGCATACAACACTTTCCAAAATATAGGCCAGTATCTATATTCAGATATGAGTTAATTTGGCCCCAAAAAAATGATTTTCTGTGGGAGAAGATATTTTTTTTTCATTGGAGAAGAATTCAATCCATGTCACAGAATTGTCCATATAGAAATGGTTAGACTGGTGTATGTTTTGCTGTGTATATTCTCAACAATAGCCCAAACTTGGTGTAGTAGTCACTCTCTATTCCTTACCTCCTTACCACTTGTCTTAGGCTAGGGTTTCTAGAGAAGCAAAACCAGTGAAACATATACATGTATATATTGGCTCCTGGTATGGTGCTGTGGGTTAGTTAATATGCTGGACTGCAAGGTCAACTTGAACTGCAAGGTCAGCTGTCCAAGCTCACCAGCCACTCCTCAGAAATCCTATACAGAGTCACTATGAGTCAGAACCGACTCTACAGCACTAAACAACATAGAAAGAAAACTTTATTATCAAGAAAATGGCTTATAATTGTAGAGTCCCAGGTTCCCAGCAGAAGAGATAACGTCCCTTTCACATGTCCATTATATTGGAAGCAGGCCTTCAATTGATTGGCTACTCATAACCACTTATCAGAGCCAACCATGCCTGAATTAGGTTTCATCACCATGGGAATAAGCACATCTCAACTGATAAACCTTTGGAAATCCTGACCTGGTCGAGTTGACTCAGAACTTAAACCATTATAGTCCACCCTTCTCACCTCAAAACATATAAACTATATGCATAATCTCTAAATAAATAAAATTGTAGAGTCATACTTACACCGAGCATGATATAATTAAAACACATACAACTGAAAACACACTGGCCCAATTTATATCTTATATGTTACAAATGAGCAAAGCCAAATTATTTGATACACAGATACAAACAAAACAAAGAAATATATATTCATTTAAATGTCCAAAGGGAACACTCTGCAAGCCAGCCTCCTGCTTGTAAGCACACAGCCTTATTCCGTCCATGGGCCTTGAGTCCATACCTGCTCTGTCTTTCCATGCCACCACCTCTGCTGCTGTCTCTGCTGTTGCTGCTTTTCCAGGAAGGGATCCCACACTCCACTCATACGCCTCCTTAATGATGGTCCTGGGATCTTCTGTTCTTTAAATGAAAGATAACTACTCCCCGCTTCTAGTTACACATCTTCTACAATTATACTTTTGACAATCACAATTAATCCTACTAACAGTCACAACTGAAATCATAAAATCCTATCAGCATCATCCCCCTTTTATCAGACCCATCTGGAAAAGAAGAAAACTAGTCAGTGGGGATTCTCTCTTGTCCCCTCATTCTAAAACAAAGTGCACCCATGAAAGCGTGTAAGGCAGTCACTTCATGCCTTTATTTGTAGCCCCCCCCCCCCATTTTTGATAGCCAATGTCTAAATTGCCCATCCCCATCAACCCAGTCCTGGTGTGATGCTGTGGGTTAAGGCACTTGACTGTAAGGTCAGCAGTTCCAAGGAAACCCCTACAGAGTCCCTATGAGTCGAAACTGACTTGATGGCAGTTAACAACAACATAACAACAACAATCAATACAGTACACTGAGGAGACAAGTATATTCCTTGATATAAAAAAGCTCCATTCCTATAGGAATTTTGAGCAGTTGCATTCATAAGCAAAAGTCCAGTCCAACAAATTATAGCAATTGACACTTGCTAAGAGTATCAATTATGGACAACATTGCGAAGTATGAGCATTCTGAAACACTTAATTGTGCTCATGAGGAATCTGTACCTGGACCAAGAAGCAGTTGTTCAAACAGAACATGGGAACACTGAATGGTTTAAAATTTTAAAAGGTGTTCAACAAGGTTGTACTCTTTCACCGTACTGATTCAACCTGTATGCTGAGCAAATAATACGAGAAGCTGGGTTCTGTGAAGGAAAACGTGGCATCAGGATTGGAGGAAGACTCATTAACAACCTGCAATATGCAGGTGATACAACCTTGCTTGCTGAAAGTGAAGAGGACTTAAAACACTTACTGATGAAGATCAAAGAGCACAGCCTTTAGTATGGATTACATCTCAATGTCAAGAAAACAAAAATCCTCACCACTGGACCAGTAAACAACATTCTTATCAATGGAGAAAAGATTGAAGTTTTCAAGGACTTTAGTCTTCTTGGATCAACTATCAACACTCAAGGAAGCAGTAGTCAAGAAATCAAACGACGTATTGCATTAGGCAAATCTGCTGCACAAGACCTTTTTAAAGTGTTGAAGAGCAAACATGTCAGCTTGAGGACTAAGGTGCACCTGACCCAAGTCATGGTATTTTCAATAACCTCATATGCATGTGAAAGCTGGACAGTGAATAAGGAAGACCGTAGAAGAATTGATGCTTTTGATTTATGATGTTGGAGGAGAATATTGAAAATGCCATGGGTGTTGGAGGAGAATATTGAAAGTGCCACAAGAACCAACAGATCTGTGTTGGAGGAAGTGCAGCCAGAGTGCTCCTTGGAGGCCAAGATAGCCAAACTTTGTCTCTCATATTTCAGACATATTGTCAGGAGGGACCAGTCGCTGGAGAAGGATATCATGTTTGGTAAGGTGTAGGGTCAGAGAAAAAGAGGAAGACTACCAATGAGATGGATTATCCAAGTGGCAGCATCGATGGACTCAAGTGTGGCAACAGTGGTGAGGTTGGACCAGGATCGGGCAGTGTTTTCGTTCTGCTGTGGGTCGCTATGGGTTGGTACCTACTTGATGGCACCTAACAACAACAACAACAAGAGTGTCAAATATCTTTATTAATTGGTCAGATTCTGGTCAGCTCAACCCTAGTCACCCAAGCCAGATCAAATGGGTACCAGCTACAAGTTTGGGAGTTCACAAACACCTCCCTGCACTTCAAATCAGCTGCCCCTTCACTCTCAGCCCTAGCTCCCATGAGTCAGGTCAGTGCCCATGGGCTCAGAAGTTCACACAATTCCCTAAATTTCAGACTAGCCAGCTCCTAATATCTCAAAGTCAATGGGTGCCAATAGAACATGTCCAAACTCAGCCCATGTCTTCATTGCTTCATTTCCCCCAGTGCTACTCATACATAGATAGACCCAGCTGGCTACCAGAAAGCATCCCTTTTACTTTTAGTCCTAAAAGGAGGTTTTCTTTGATTGGCAGACTTTCCTTGCCTTGATGCCTCCAACTCAAAACACACAACAGGTTTTTTTCTCTGCTTGAATCTCCAGTTCTCCCAGCAGTTCTGGGTTGGTCTGCATGTCTTTTCAAAATGCCAACTCTGAAGGTTCTGGGTGGGGCTCAGGATTCCACTTAAGGCACCATACTCTACAAAGGCTTAAAGCAAAAAGTCAATTTTATCCAGGCAAATTTTAACTCCCCTTTTAGACAATCCCTTCAAGGAGCTCTGGTAGCATTTGTTGTTGTTGTTGTTAGGTGTCATTGAGTCGGTATTGACCCATAGCGACCTTATGCACAGCAGAACAAAACTTATGGGCCAACCTCATTACTGTTGCCACTCTTGAGTCCATCAATGCTGCCACTTGGCCAATCCGTCTTGTTGGGGGGGTCTTCCTCTTTTCCTTTTTTTGAACAATATGTCCAAAGTATGAGAGATGAAGTCTGGTAGCATAGTGGTTATGAATCTGGTTGCAAACCATAAGGTCAGCAGTTTGAAACTACCAGCTGTTCTGCGGGAGAAAGATGAGGCTTTCTGCTCCTGTAAAGATTTACAGCCTCGGAAACTCTGTTCAGGTCCACTATGGGTCGGAACTGACTCGACGGCACTTAACAACAGCATCAAGTATAGGGCAAAGGCAGACTTAAAAGGTCTGTGTAATCATCACACCCAGTATTCACTTCTATCACACATGTGTGTCTATTTTACAATTGTTGTTAAGTGCCATCAAGTTTGTTCTGATCCTTAGTGACCCTGTATAGATGATTTCCAAGGAGCGACTGGTAAGCTTAAACCACCAACCTTGCTGATCAAACCAACTTTGCAGTCCAGTGCATCAACCTACAGCACCACACCAGGACTCCCTTTTTAAAAATATGCAGGAGAAACCAATATCCATAAGGCAGTCAAACACATAGACCCTATAAAAACACTCAAGTTCAATCTTTTCCTTTACCTAGGACTAAACCTTTCATATGCATATGGCCTTGGGCCTCTGGCAAGGTGGATTCCAGTAGGCCCTGGCCACAGATCAGCTATTTTTTTTTTAACCAGAGTGGCATCAGCTCCAGGCAACTCCAGAAGCTTTGGCTCTCCCCTCCACTTAAGTATTTTATCCCATCCCCCTTTGTTCTTTGTTACAAAACCTCATAATTTCATAGGTCTGGAGCCATTGCTATGAATCCTGTACACAGTGCCAACTGCTTAAACCAAGTGGGGAGCATGTCTGACTTCACAAGAGGGAAAAAGGACCAAACTCAAAATCAGTCCAAGGCTGATTCCTAGGAAGTGGAGGTCAGACATGCCTCTACAGATATCAGTGCCTTTAAAATTAGTCAGACTTGGGAACCAATGTAGAAAACTCATCCTTGTGATTTTGTTTCTTTAGAACCTCACTCTCTCAGTACCACATATCTTAGGTCAGGTTTTCTAGAGAAGCAAAACTATGAAACTTATATGTGTAAATATATAGAAAGAAGATTATTATCAAGAAAATGGCTTACAATTGCAGAGTCCCAGGTCCCCAGAGGAAGAGACAGAGTCCCTTCCACGTGTCAATTCAATTGGGAGCATGCCATACCCCCAAGGAAGCATCCCTTCAGTTGATTGGCTACTTAGAGCCGGTCATTACAGAGCCAATCATGCCTGTATTAGGTTTCATCAGCTTGGGAATATACACATCTCAACTGCTAAAGCTCTGGAAATCCTGGCTTAGTAGATTTGACACAGAGCCCTAACCATCACACACCCACACCCTTCCTCTGCCCCAGCCCCTAGCAACCACTAATCTTTCAAATTCTGTGGATTCGCCTCTTCTGGACATTTCTTATTATACTATATGGAAAACCACTTCTTTAGATGCTAAATGGATATAACACTATTTAAGAAAGGCAAGCATTAAAGGTAACTTCACATTTCTTCAAACCTTAAGATCCATGGCTCGCTTTACACTGGTTAGACAGTTGACCCCCAAGGAGAGAACAGTCATAGTAGCATCACTATATTTCTTAGAAGTCTGAGTTTCTTGGTTGTGCCTTTTAATGCCAGCTGGCACAGTGGTTGAAGTACTCAGTTACCAACCCAAAGATCAGCAGTTGGAACCCACTAGCTGCTCCTCAGGAGAAAGATATGCTCCTGTAAAGATAGACAGCCTTGAAAACCTGGGGCACTTCTGCTTTGTGCTACAGAATTTATGAGATGGAATTGACTTGATGGCTGTGGGTTTCAGTGATACATAGGAAAAGAATAATGATAGACCAATTCTTTGTACTGGAGATAGGCTCACTCATCCATACACCACTCTCACATGGCCGATTATTCCAAGAATTGGTCCAGGTGGCCAACAGACCTGTGACCAACACAATTGCAGACTATGCTCACTGCAGCCATCCCCACGTGCCTGGCCAGAGCTCTCCTGAGTGACTCTTCCTGAGCCTCTGATCTGCCTGGGGAATGTGTAAAGGATAGAGAAGGGCACACAGTCACTGTTAAGTGACAGGACCTGCTCCCTACCTTCTGAACTGCAGAGAAATTGGAGCTCTGTTTGTCCCAGGATTCATAAAATATATTGAGATAGGGTGCAAGGAAGAGAAGACTTTTCTAGCATCTTTGTTTGAGCATCCACATACCAAACAAGATCTTTAATACACTGATATCCTCATAAGAAAGCTATGTTGAGAAGTCCAAGAATAGGATGTTTTCATTCCCAGCAAGCTCCTCTGTCCTCCTTACAGCACACCCTTGGCTGTGATATGATAATAATGGTGGTGGTGGTGTGCCATCAAGTCGATTCCAACTCATAGCAACCCTGTATAAGGTTTCTAAGGCTGTAAATATTTATGAGATCAAAAAATCTCATCTTTCTCCTGTTGACTACCTGGTGGACTTGAACTACTGATCTTTAGCTTAGCAGCCCAACATGTAACCTACTACATTACTTGTGATAATAATACGCTACATTTAAATGGCGCACGGTGCATTCAAAGTACTTTCACCTAGACTATCTCAACTGTTCCTTTGCTTTGCCTTTGAGATAGGTCAGTAATAACCCCCAGTTTCTAGATAAGGAAACCAAAATTCACCTAGAATCATGGAAATGGGGAATGTTACAGTTGGAAGGTATCTTAAAGTGTATCTAGTTTAGACACTAGGCGGATGGCCCTCCACCTGTTTGTGTAAATAAAGTTTTTTTGGAACACAGTCATGCCCATCATGTGTTGGTCGTAATTGTTTTCTCATTACTATGGGAGAGTTTGACAGTTGCAACAGAGACACAAAGACTAAACTATCGGCTGTTTGTCCCTTTATAGAAAAAGTTGCTGCCTCCTATTCTAGTTTAACCATCTCTTTTGTTAGACAAGTATATTTATTGAGACTCAGAACAAGAAGAGTTTCGCCCAAGGTCAAATAGCTCATTGGTGGCTACAAAGCTCCCTCAGAATGTTTGTTATGGCCTGGAATTCTGTACTGAGTATAAGGTGATGAACATCTTTTTCTTTACAGAGTGGACTCACTCCCCTCCATCTGGTCGCACAAAAAGGACACTTTCCAGTGGCGGACGTGCTGATCAAACACGGTGTCACAGTGGATGCCACCACCAGGGTAAGACAGGGTCTGTGTGTGGGTCCCCACCCTGCCTCCTCTCCCACCCCTACATGTCTCCCACCCCTACAGTCATCTCCATTTGCACTCCACACACTTCAGACGGGTCTCTTCCACAGAGCTGTGAATGCAGTGGTGCGTTTTCCCCTGCTTCTCCTTGGTATTGAGAGTGGAGTTTGCAAAAAAAAACATCTTAATGATCTCACTGTTCTGTTGGGAATTTTAAACCATTTGATAGACCTTTCCACCTCTATAGTGAAAAATTAATGGGAAGGACTGTTTGATCATGATTTCATAATAACATTCAATAATATTAAAATGCTAGATTTATCTGGAGTCCCACAAAAACGCAGTCCCTGTTATTTAAGCATTTAGCTCAATTCAGTTCAACTTTCTTTGAAACTCCTGTCTGTGCAAGGAACTCTGAGAGGTGATGGGTAATTGTAGACAACACACAGTGGTACCTGCCCTCAAGGCATTTGAGTTGAGTGTGGAAGAGACAGGAATAAGCAGTGACTTGTGATAGCTGGTAAACAGAGCAACTGTCCCACCTGGAGCATAAAGAGAAGAGAGTGTTTCCATTTGATGGGCTAAAGGAGACTTCATAGATGTAGTCTTTTCACAGCAAGGCAATTATGTCATTGTATTCAAAGGAAAGGGCAATGTTATTTGAAAAGTCTCCCTGAGGAAAAGACTAGAAGCTGTTTTTCAGCCCTAAATGTCTGCAGCTCCAACAGGAATCTGCTTAGGGCCTCGAATGTTCTGGTTCTTTGAGGATTCTCTAATAGGTCCAGTCTAGTCTTTTTGGATCTGGAGCATTAGAACTGCCTTGAGGATCCCAGAACCATCTTGTATGTGAAGGTCCAGCTTACATTGTTTCTGGAACCTAACACCCACTTCCAAGGATTACTTAGAACCAAAGAACTTGGAGTTCCTCGGCTTGCTTCCCCCAGGGAATAGCAAAAGAGCAAACAGGACAGAATCCTACAAAATTAGGTCTTTAAAAGAATAAATACCCAAAGCCCACTCCTTGATTCCCAACAATGTTCAATTTTTATAAACTCTATTTCAGCTAAGTAACTCAGACAACCTTTTGGTGTTCTCTACTGGCCTTGTGGGTTAATGCGCCAGACTGCAAAGCTTTTTGAACTGCAAGGTCAGCAGTTTAAGCTCACCAGCTGCTCCTTGGAAACCCTATACAGGGTTGCTGTGGGTCGGAGTCTACTCATCAGTACTTAACAACAACAACAGTAGCATTGCAAGGAGCCCTGGTGGTGCAAAAGTCTAAGTGCTTCTAACCAAAAGTCGGTGGTTCGAACCCACCAGCCTGTCCACAGAAAAAAAGAAATTACAGTCAGGAAAACCCTATGGGGCAGTTCTACTCTGTCAAGTGGAGTCGTTATGAGTTATAATAGACTCCACAGCACCAACAATAGCATTTATCTTTTAGGCGTAACAAGTCTGCTGTTGTTAGAATCAACAATCTCCATGCTCTGATCAGTCCTCATTTCAGCCTTCACAGCCAGTGAGGGCTTGATAGCTCGTCCCTTCTTCTTTAACTCATCATACTTGGCTTCTGTAGCAGCCTGTCCTGGTTTCCTCCCACATCTTTGTGGCTCTCTCACAGTCTGACTCTCAATGTTTGGGAACACTGATGGAACCCTTGGAGTCCTGGTGTGGTGCTACGAGTTAATGCTCTGGGCTGCAAGGTCAGTCTGAATTGCAAGGCTGGTTGTTCAAGCTCACCAGTCACTCCTCGGAAACCCTATACAGAATCATTATGGGTCAGAACCGACTCAACATTTAACAACAACAACAGTGGGACCCCTAGAGTCCTGATGTGGCACTGTAGGATAAGCACTGGACTGCAAAGTGAATTTGAACCACAAGGTCAGCGGTTCAAACCCACCAGCCACTCCTCAGAAACCCTATACAGGGTTGCTATGAGTCAGAACTGATTCGACAATTGTTAACAACAATAGAAACTGTATACTGGGTCACTGTGAGTTGGAACCGACTCAACGGCACTTAACAAGTGTTGCCTGGAGTCCCTGTGTGGCACTATAGGATAAGCACTAGACTACTAACTGCAAGGTCTGTGGTTCAAATCCACCAGCCACTCTTCAAAAACCCTATAATGGGTGGCTATGAGTCGGAACTGACTTGCTGCACTTAGCAACTAAAAAAAGTATTTCTTGATAGTGCTGTAAGTTAGGAATTGAACTGCTACCCACAAGCTCGTGGTTCAAACTCACCAGTAGTTCCATGGCAAAAAGCTGAAGCTGTCTGTTCTCTTAAAGGTTTACAGTCTTAGAAACCCTTAAAGTGTCTCTAGGAGTCAGAATCAACTCAGTGGTGTTGAGCTTTTTTGGTTTGAAGTATTGTTTCAGTACTTGGACCTAGATTTTTTTTCTCTCATTCTTCTCCAAGGTTCTTCCATGTGCTGATAGCTTCCAGATTTACTTATCCAGTCTAGACCTCTCCACAGAGTTCAATATCAGTTTTCCAACTGATTGCTTGACACATACTATCTTTCAAGCATCTCAAACGTCATTTATCTGGAACTGAACCCTGTATCTTCTCAGGCCCATGATATCTGATGGTAGCAGCAATACAGCTTATAGCAGCTGACAACCTTCCAAAAACTTGTTCTGTCCAGTCTCTTTTAATTAAGTACTTTTGTAAGGATTTCATTAATGCACAATCTATAAAGACTCTTGGTCTGCCCAGAAGCCTTGTTATCCATCTCTTCTCATTTCTTGCTTTTTAGATGGGATACACACCTCTCCATGTGGCCAGTCATTATGGAAATATCAAGCTGGTGAAGTTTCTGCTACAGCACCAGGCCGATGTCAATGCCAAGACCAAGGTACAAGGATGCCTTAGACCTGACTCTTCGACTGATGCTTCTGGAGGGCTACATTAGGACATAGCCACAAGCTGTTCTGGGCACACTTGGGGCTCTGACACAATTTTAAACTTGGATCCCCAAAGAAGAAATTAAAAAATGCATTTTTTAATGTCATGTGCAATAGGTGGATAAGCTCTGTAGCATGTGGGAAGTTCTTTCTCTTGTAGTTATCCTTAACAAAATGTCTACCTCACTTTATAGCTAGGATACAGCCCCTTGCACCAGGCAGCTCAACAAGGACATACAGACATTGTGACTCTTCTTCTAAAAAATGGTGCTTCCCCAAACGAGGTCAGCTCGGTGAGTACCAACTAGTTTTCTTTCTTCAGAATATTGATCTCCGTGGGCAGCCTTATGAGACTTCTAATAACCATAAAAGGTCCTCTGGATGTAAAACAAATTACTTGGATTATACTTCCAGATTGGCCAGCCATTAGTTCAGTCTGTCTTTATGGCACTATATATAGGACCTTGGTGGGGCTGCAGAACCATAAAGTCACAGCTTTATGGTACCCAAGGGCATGGCGGTGTGATCAGTTTTTCTTTCTGGCTAACTAACTGAAGTATCATTTGTTTACTTTTAGTTTTGTTTAAATCTTCTTGTTGAATCCCTTTTTAAATTCCATATGACTGATTCAAGTGTGGTACAAATGAACAAAATTCAACATCTTGGGTTGGTTCTTGATCTTCTGGGTCCTGAGGATTATGCTTACCAACATCCATGATCATTGTCCAATATGAATTTTCTCACCTTAAAGTGTGGAGGCTTTGTTAGATTACCCCCAGCTTGGAAAGCTTCCAGCTTGGAAAGCTCATCTGTGGACCCTTGATTGTAGATGTGGGTGCTGAAAGTATAACTGTGGAGAGGGCTGAATGGAGCGTCTGGCAGGTTTTAGCACTACAGAACTTTTCTTTAAAAAGCCTCAATGTCAATGTATTTTCATATAGCTCTTTCTCTTAACCACTACTTGTCTTCTCATACTGTGATTGCTTGTCTGTTGCTATGATGCTGGAAACTATGCCCTTCAGGTTGGAAAGCACTCAAAATACAACTGGGGAAGAGCTGTCAAAATGGAGGCATCCTTAATGATGTGGCTACAATAAAGCATTTGAGACTTTTTTTTTTGCTGGTGTGGCACAACTTACCATGAGAAAAAAACAGATGCAAACATCCATTAGTAACCATAATGTATATAGTATGAATTGGAAATCATAAAAAATAAAATGAAATGCATAAAAATCAATATCCTTGGCATTAGTGATCTGAAATGTACTGGCATTGGTCATTTTGAATCAGTCATGTGGTCTACTTTGCAAGGAATGACAAATTGAAGAGGAATAGCAGTGCATTCATTGTCAAAAAAACATTTCAAGATCTGTAGTGAAATACAACATTGTCAATGATGTGATAATACCCATACACCTAGTAGGAAGACCAGTTAATAGGACTATCAAATAAATGTGTGCTTCAAAAACTAATGCCAAAGATTTACAAATTGAAAGTTTTTACCATCTTCTTCAGTTTGAAATTGATCAAGCATGCAGTGAAGATACATTGATAATTACTAATGAATGGAATGTGAAAGTTGGAAACAAAGGATTGGAAAATATGGAAAGTTGGAAAATATGGCCTTGGTGATAGAAACAAGACTAAATAAAGATCACGTGACAGATGTTTTCAAGACCAACCATTTTTTCATTGCAAATTTGTTTCCTTAACAACATATATGACTAGAAAACCTATGGACATCACTGTATGGAATGTGTAAAAATCTAATCAATTACATTTGTGGAAAGAGATTATGAAGAAGCCCAACATCATCAGTCAAAACAAGGCTGGGGACCAACTATGGAACAGACCTTCTATTGCTCAGATCCAAATTTGATTTAAAGCTGAAGAAAATTAAAACAAGTCTATGAGATCCAAAGTGTGACCTTGAGTATATTCCACCTGAGTTTAGAGACCATTTCAGAATAGAATTGACACCCTGAACATTAATCACTGAAGACCAGACAAGTTGTGGGATGACTTCAAGGACATCATATCTCAAGAAAGCAAAAGGTCATTTAAAAGACAAGAAAGAAATAAAAGACCAAAATGGGCATCAGAAGACACTCTGAAACTTACTCTTGACCATTGGGTATCTAAAGCAGATGGAAAAAATTATGAAAGCAGAAAATTTCCAAGGGCAATTTGAGAAGACAAAGTAGAGCATTATCGTGAAATGTGCAAAGACCTGGAGCTAGAAAACCAAAAAGAATGATCACAATCAGTATTTCTCTAGCAGAAAGAAGTAAAGAAGAAATCCAAGCCTCAAGTTGCAATATTGAAGAATTTTATGGGCAATAGATTGAACGATGCCAGAAACATCAAAAGAACATGAAAGTAAAACACACATTCACTGCACCTAATAGAATTAGTCGGTGTTCAGTTGGTTTCAGGAGGTAGCATATGATCAAGAACTGGTGTTATTAAACTTCTGTCCAAGCTGCACTGAAAGCACTGGCAAAAAAACAACAACAACAAAAGTCCAGGAATTGACAAAATAGCAAGTGCAATATTTCAGAACAAACTAATGCAGTGCTGGAAGCGCTCATTGTCTATGCCAAGAAATTTGGAAGACAACTATTTGGCCAACTGACTAGAAGAGATCCATGCCCATACCAAAGAAAGGTTACTCAATGGGATCCAGAAATTATTAAACAATATCATTAATATCTCATACAAGTAAAATTTTGCTCAGGATCATTACAAAGTGGTCACAGCAGTACATCAATAGGAATCTGCCAGAAACTTAAGCCAGATTCAGAAGAGGACGTGAAACAAGGAGTAACACTGTTGATGCCAGACAGATCTTGGCTGAAATCAGAGAAAACCAGAAAGATATTTACTTGTGCTTTATTGGTTATGTAAAAGCATTCAACTGTGTGAATTATAACAAGCTATGGATAACATTGCAAAGAATGGAAATCTCAGAACATTTCATTGTACTCATGATGATTCTGTATATAGACCAAAAGGCATGGAGCGATAGAGTAGCTGAGGACTCTAGACTCATGGAAAGAGAAAGGCTGTGTGCTTGCATCCAGGAGGCAGGCTTGCAGAATGTGCCCTTTGGTTGTTTAAATGATTATATATTCCTGAGTGTTTTTGTGTACATCAAAAAAAAAGAAAAAAAAACAGGGAAAAGAAGCAAATACTGTTGAATGATGATGCACGGCAGATATTGTAATCAGTGCAATGAAACAATGAGTATAAAACCAATGTTCTCCCATGTAAACTATCACTCAAGTCACAATAAAAGCTTGAAAAAAAAAGGCAGTCATTATAACAGAGCAAGAGGATACTGAGTAGTTTTAAATCAGGAAAAGTGTACACCAGGATTGTATCCTTTCATTATACTTAATCTATCTGGATGATGAACAAATAATCCAAGAAAACGGATTATATGAACATATCATTAGGATTGAAGGAAAGTTCAATAGTCAGTGACAACCTGCGATATGCAAATGATACAATCTTGCTTGCTGAGAGCAAAGAGGACTTGAAGCACTTACTGATGAAGATCAAAGAGTACAAGTTACAATATGGACTACACTTCAACATAAAGAAAACCAAATACCTCATCACTGGACCACTAAGCAACATGATAAACAGAGAAAAGATTGAACTTGTCAAGAATTTCAAGAATTTAATTTACTTTTATCTATAATCAACACTCATGGAACAGCAGTCAAGAAATCAAATGATACATTACATTGTCAAATCTGCTGCAAAAGACCTCTTTAAAGTGTTAAAAAGCAAAGATGTCATTTTGAGGACAAAAAAAGCGTGCATGACCTAAGCCATGGTCTTTTCAATCATCTCATATGTGCAAACACTGGGCAGTGAACAAGGAAGATCAAAGAAAAATTGATGCAATTGAATTATGGCGTTGGTGGGAAGTGTTGAATATACCATGGACTGCCAAAAAGTGAACAAATCTGTCTTGGAAGAAGTACAGCCAGAATGCTCCTTAGAAGTGAGGATGGAAAGACTTGACCTCATACACTTTGAACATGTTATTGGTTGGACCAATTCTTAGAGAAGGACATCACGCTTGGTAAAGAGGGTCAGCGAGAAATAGGAAGACTCTGAACAAGATGGAGTGATATAGTGGCTGCAACAATAGGCTCAAATAACAAGGATTGTGAGGATGGTGTCAAACCAGGCAGTGTTTTGTTCTGTTCTACATAGGGTTATTAAGGAGCCCTGGTTGCATAGTGGATTATGAGTTCTACATAGGGTTATTAAGGAGCCCTGGTTGCATAGTGGATTATGAGTTCTACATAGGGTTATTAAGGAGCCCTGGTTGCATGGTGGATTATGAGTTCTACATAGGGTTATTAAGGAGCCCTGGTTGCATAGTGGATTATGAATTCTACATAGGGTTATTAAGGAGCCCTGGTTGCATAGTGGATTATGAGTTGGGTTACTAACTGCAAGGTCAAGATTATGAGTTGGGTTGCTAACTGCAAGGTCAAGAGAAAGATGAGACTTTCTGTTCCCAAACAGATTTACAGCCTCAGAAACCCTATACAGAGTTGCTATGAGTCAGAACCAACTCCCTGGCACACAACCACATAGGGTCATTATGAGTGGGAACCAAATTAATGGCACCTAAGAACAGTTTTCTCTTAAAATCAAAATATGAAATATACCCCAATCCTAGTTTTGGTTACTTGTGGGTTTTGATTGGCTTGATAGCCATTAATTGAAGTATGTGAATTATATTAATTATCTTAATGAGGGAAGTGGTAGTTCAGTGGTAGATTTCTCACCTTTCATGGGTGGGGGGAGACCTGGATCCAGTTCCAGGCCAGTGAGTATCATGTGGATCCACTACCCATCTGTCAGTTTGCCTGTTGCTGTGATGCTAAACAGATTGCAGCAAAGTTTCTAGTCTAAAAGACTAGAAAGAAAGATCTGGCAAGTACTTCTGAAAATCAGTGTAAACTCTTTATCACAATAGTCTGATGCCATTGAGCAAGGAGCCATCAGGAGTCACAGACCAACCCAAGAGCAGCTAACAATAGTTCTCAGTGTACTGACACCCAGAGAATGGATCTTTGGAAGGAGCATTGTTTTACACTCTTTTAGTCTTACCCCCTCACCCCCCAAAAAATAAGATCTTTTTTTTTTTTTTTTATGGCTTACAAATTGCATACAATTTTATGGAAAACAAAACAAAACAAAACCCAAAACCCAACTTTTATTACAATGCAGTCCAAATGTTAGCAACCAAAGATTTATGAAAATATTTCCATTGAAATAATTTTTTAAAAATTCCTAATGCTATGGATCATTCCCTTCTAAACAGAATTGGCAGAGCTGCTCTCAAACTCACATAAGAGTATTCCACACAACACTCTCAGAATTCAGATTTATTGATTTCCTCCATATTGACTTTAAAAATGATTTGAAGCTGACTGCAAGAAAAGGAACCGGTGATTTTAAGTTAAAATTAATCTAATGGTGAAAGTACATCACCTCTGGCTTCAGTCACCACATCACCTTAGACTGGATCTATTTTTGAACAAAGTTCCAGAACTCTGAAATGCAGGGATTCTGCAGGCCTCTCCCAGCAATGTCCTTCCCTTTGGGGCAGTCTCCTGGGCCAGAGGTGAAAGTGCTTTCAAAAATACTGCCATTTCCCCAGCACAGTATCTTTGATTGCATCAACATATTGAGTTGGAACCCAGTACACCCAGTAAGTAGTAAGAGGCTTCTGTGGGGCCCAACTGAAACGCCATCATGTGGTAGTCTTCATGTCCTTTGATCTGTTCACTGAGCACATTTTTAATGGAGCCCATGGACGATTTCTCAGTCTGCTCTTTTGTGCCGATCCACAAGTGGTCTTGTTCTAGCTTAAAGGTGAGTCTCACTTTCCCTCCAGACTTATTGTACATGCCAGACAAGGGCACCGTGGGCAGATGCTCCTGGGCACCTTTGACTGACGGCATCACATCTTCGGGTTTTCCTTTATCCAACACTTTCCTGTGTTGAGCCAACTGATTTTTGACAAAACACCCAAATATATCGCATGGGGAGGTGACAGTCTCTTCAGCAGATGGTGCTGGCAGAACTGGTCCACAAATAAGATCTTTTATTTGTCATCATTGAAAGTCTGAATTTTACACAGACTCTTTAACTGGTCATTCATAGCCATCAGCTCGTTCACCTTTAACACCTATCTCATCTCCAGTAGCTTTTCCAAAACTACTGCCTTCACCATGAAGCGCCGTGAGTTTTCCCAACTCAAACTTGGGCTTCTTCAGCATTCTTATGTTCCTAATAAACACATCATTGGAAGCGTAAATAGACTGGCAGACTTCTCTATGTCCTTTCCAATGTTGTCTGGAATCAGTTCATTGACCATTTCTTTCAAGTAATTTGTCTGCACCTCTTGGGTCATGATTTCCATCATTTTCTTCCGGATTTTGATGGACTTGTTGGTGCTGAGCATAAGATGTCTTCCGAATCTGGTTGTTGCATTTTTTAGTAAAACCAGCATAGAACAGGCGAAGCAAATAACCATCTGTAGTCTTGACATCAACATGAGCTTCAATCATGGTCTGCCATTTTTTGACCATGGAACACATTTGTCACAGGTAAGATCCATGCCGTGGACATTGGTCAGGCAGTTTTTGCCCTGAACATCCTCAGTAATTAGCTTGAATTTTCTAAATACAACTTCATCGTTCTGCAGATCAGCAAGACTCACTTCAAAAACATGGCCTTTGAGCCCATCAGATGTGATTTTGGTTCATTGAGTCCTTGTGACTAGTGTTTACCCAGTATTTCTTATATTGAACATAGCTGGTGTCTTCATGCCATAACAATCTTTCTTAGAAAATGGATCAATCACTTTCTTGTTGGCTCCTTTTTTGCCATCTTTTGTAAAGCACTTGTTCTTGCTGATCGCCATGGTGCTGCTCAGAGAGCCAAAAGGCCACTCTTTAGTCTTAAAATTGCATTTGATGCATTCCTGATTCATCCTTTCCAAGTTGGTTTCCTCTTGGCATTTCTTGAACGACCCTGGTAATATTTCCCCTTGCTTTCCTTTTGAGGTACTCGTATTCAGTGCTACAGATTTAAAAGACCACTGCCCATCCTTGTGCCATTCCCCTGGCCTTTGCTGGCATTGCCACTAACACACATTTAAGCTCACAAGTGTTCAGGAATCTTGTTCTTGGCTCCAAATGGATTCTGTCCACTTATGCCCTTTTGAACAAGTAGAAGGTGAGCATGCAGATGTACAAATGGGGCGGGACTTGTCTCCTAGACTCGATTTCCTTGTTTAATCCCATCCTTTCTCTACTCTTCTTCCCAGAATGGAACCACACCTCTGGCAATAGCCCAGCGCCTGGGCTATATTTCTGTAACCGACGTACTCAAGGTTGTCACGGATGAAACTAGTATGGTGGTATGTCAGCTTTTCCCCCTCACTTCCTTCCCAAACATGTAGTGGACTGACAGGGTGGCCCTATGGGTTAAAATCCCCTAAATGGAGTGGCTGTACACCTTATTGGAAGCCAAAACAGTGGGAAAGATTGTTCCCAGCCATCAGCAAAGTTGTACTGCCACCTAGTGGTGTGAGGAATTGAGGCTGAGACCAGACGAAAGGGGGCAGCAGAAAGATGGGATTTGAGGAAGAGATGAGGGATGGGAAGGTAAAGTTTTCTGCTTGTCTTCCTCCTGGTTCCTGCCACACATCCAGTTCCAATCTAAGAGCCTCTGAGCTTTAGTTTTCTTCATTTGGGATAAATCTCCATTTCCTTAATAATCTCCACAGTTGTGACCAGGTAATTTCCGAGTTGATGAAAGGGCCCAGTGTTCCATTTGGGTTGAATTCTCTGCTTCTTCTCATTTTAGTTACTCAGTGACAAGCACCGGATGAGTCTTCCTGAGACAGTAGATGAGATTATGGATGTCTCTGAAGATGAAGGTAAAGTCTAGGATAATGAGCTCAGGCTGAACGGAAGAAATGGGGCTCTGAGCACTCACTGAGTGCCCGCCATGTTGCACTCAAGAATTCTCATGATATCCCCAAGTTTTGAAGACCTGAATTGAACCCAAAGCCACTTTTAAAAAGAAATGTTGTCTATTATATATGTTGTTGTTAAGTGCGGTCTAGTTGTTTCCAACTCATAGTGACCCTGTATAGGGTTTCTGAGGAGCAATTGGTGGGTTTGAATATATATATGTATATATGTTGTTAAGTGCCATTGGGTTAGTTCTGACTCATAGTGACCCTGTATAGGGTTTCCGAGGAGCTGCTGGTGGATTTGAACTGCCAACCTTCTGGTTCGTAGTCCAGTGCTGATCCTACAGCACCACACCAGGTTATATATATATATATATATGTTGTTGTGAAGTGCCATTGAGTCAATTTCAACCCATAGCAACCCTGTATAGGATTTCCACGGAGCAACTGATAAGCTTGAACTGCTGACCTTACAGCTCAAACTAACCCTGCAGTCCAGCGTGTTAACCCCATAGCGCCACACCAGGACACTCGTCACACCAGGATATATATCCTGTATTACCATTTTATGAGAAGGAAAATTTACATTTCCAATTAAAGTATTTTTTAATCCCATGAAGTTTCTTAAATAGCTATGTGTGTGCATATATTTGACATGTGTATCAACTGGAGTATGATTCTACTCAGATTAATTCTCAGAGTTGTAAGGAACTATAAAAAACTTCTGACTGGTACCTTTCTTGTGCTTTGAACAAATAGCAAACTGGTTATTGAAAGAAGTATGAGCATTTCTCTCAATAAGCTGCTCTTCTAACCCCAGTGTGCCAGTAAGATTATGGATAAAACTGTTATTATAGAATCCCTTGTGTTTCAATATCTATGAATGACAGAGTACTTTTAGTATTTTTCCTGTCCCAAATAGGCCTTAAGTTTGAAGGGGATCCTTGTGATGTAAACTGAAGGGGTTGGGCTGGATCTTCTCTGTGGTCCATTCTGTTCTCTAGTTCAGTGGTTATATAAGTTTGTTAGCTAGGTGGTAAAAATTCTCCTTGATAATATGTCTCTCACTTTAACTGACTTCAGTCCTGTTCTTCCTTAAACTTGGCTCTTTTTGCTTTCCAGGAACTGCTCATATAACTATCATGGGTATGAAACGCTTTCTGTTTCCTGTGGTTCTTTCTCACCAGAGTGCATTTCACCCTAAGCTATCACTAATTCTTTCCTGCTTTCCACCCTCCTCTGATGGCTAAACCTGTCAGAGCTGGGAGCTTACTTACAATAGGAAATTTATAACCATAAGATCCATGCCCTGGCAGGTCGTTCCTGCCTGTCCATCTATGTGTTTGTGCCCATGCCTCTGTGTTTGTGATGATAACTGCATGAGTCCATGTTATTTCATTCTGTCAGCTCCAGACCACAAAGCTAGAAAACTTACTGCTATGTGACAGTGAATGCCAATGCAAGGTCAAGGACCCACAGCTCGGTTCAAGCAGGGAGAGTGAGACAAAGAGGCAGCTGAGGTTACAGACAGCTGATTCACCCAGAATTTGAACCTCTTTGTAATGGACTTAGAAAATAATGAGATTTTAGTAGCCATGGTTAAAAAGAAAATCCTATAGCCCTTCAAAATAAATTATCTCAGTTCCATTATAGTTGGTCCTTCTGTAGTGTGTGGCATGGAAAAGAACAGTAGCAACTTTCTTTGGTGTCTCTGGATACCTGAGAAGGGATTTTCTGAAGTAGGACTTATCAAGTTAAGACAGTTCTTTCCTGGCCATATTGTTTTTCGTCTACAAAGCCCGATAAAAACTAAGACACTAGGAGTTGGCTGTCCCATTCTATATACCAGAGTTGGAGGAACAAGATTGCCTAGAGTCATTGCTTATGATTCCCTATAGCACCTCAGAGACCTTTGTCCTCTCCTTAGGTACAAGCATTGAGAGGAGGACCAGGAGAAGCATTTAAAAAAAGACAGAAAGAGACAGTCTACCATCTCCATTCTGTCACTAACTTAAACTTGTGTGGTTCCAGGGGAAGAAATTGTTGGCTCCAAAGCTGAGAAGCAAGATTCCAGAGAAGCGGATGAAGAGAAGGAGCTGCTGGAGTTTGTGCCTAAGCTAGACCAAGTGTAAGAAGTGCTTACATGGTGGAGGGTCAAGGTTTAGCCCTAGAACTCAAAGAAGGGACACAGAAGTGTTAAGAAGGTCAGGCCCTGGGTATGGCTCTGACAAAGACAGACTGCGGGTCCTCATTTATATCAGGATAAATTGACTCTGTACCTGGACTGCAGAGAACGGACAGCAAGGTCTACGGGACAGTGGGCTGCCTGGGAACATCTATTTCCTTCTTCCCATCCCTACCTCACAACTTTTCCCTCCCATCACTGACAGTTATATCTAGACATCTTCACTCACTCGTGTGCTCTCAGCTGCTCACCAGAAATCTCCATGGAGGAAGATTCACACCAGAAACAGTTCCCATGCTAAAATCAAACACTAACTACATTCCTCTGTCCATGAGCGGCATTAGGTAAAGCCCATCAAAGATTTGGGTCTGCCAGGAACCCCATTCTCTTTTCTCCTGTTGACTGTTAAGAATTATGCCACTGGGGTACATATACACATAGGGATATTTGGTGAATATATCTAAAATCTTCAACTTTTAAAAGATAGACATATGCCAGCTTAGTATAAACAAGCAGGAAATGAAACTCTAAGGGTATTTTGATCGATTAGTATTTTCTGCACATCAGTTGGAAAGAAACACAAGACCTGTGTTTCCAACTACAAGAAACTTAGAGATTAATTTGGTGGGACCAACACGTACACACACACACATACACAGGATAATATAATGCTCAGGCCAAAGTGAGGGTTCCATCAACAAGGGCTATGGTGGTGGTAGTGTGCCATTCAACTCATAGTGACACTGTATAGGGTTTCCAAGGCTGTAAATCTTTGTGGGAACAGAAAGCCTCATCTCTCTCCCAAGGAGCAACTAGTGGTTTTGAACTGCTGACCTTGCGGTTCGCAGAAAAGTGTGATCAATTTGAGTTGGACTAGGTGGGAGAATACTTCATGGAGGAGGGAGTAGTTCCTTCATCTAAGTCTTGAAGGACATCTGAGCTCTGAAGAAGAAAAGAAGGCAAGGAAGGGGCCTGTAGGTGAGATGAAGAGGAAGGCCTGCACATGTGGCATGTACGATGGGGGTCTCAGAATGTATAGATTATCATGGAAGTACAGCGGTGTTTCACGTTGGCCTTCCATGAAAGAGAGGGAACCTCTCAGAAGAATCAACCTTTTGATTTTTCAATGTTCTTGCTACACAGGGTAGAATCGCCGGCTATTCCTAGGATTCCTTGTGTCACACCGGAGACAGTGGTGATCAGATCTGAAGAGCAGGAACAGGTCAGAAGCATCATTTCTCTTCTTTTCCTATTTGCAGAATGCAAGTGTCCCAGGACAATGACCTGCAGTACAATGATAGGAAATAGCCATTGAAAAGCTTTTACAAAGTCTCTTTAGATCCATGATTCCTGGTATTTTCTGTAGCCCCCAGTGCCATTGGCATGATTGTTATTATCCCAGACATTAATGCTATGAGTGTCAGAGAGCCTAAGGGGTATGTGAAAAATCACTAACCTAGTCCAGTGAAGCTGAGAACTGACGCCGGCAGTTCTGGCTCTGAGGCCCATGTTCTCATCACCATAACCCCTGAACGCCTGCTCTCCACACACATATGGATACAGTGGGTCACTGTGCTAGAGAGGAAGCCCAACCTGAGGCAGGTATTGTGAAGCCAGAGGTGGGCTCTGGCTGCAGTCTGCACCCATTGTGAAGTCCTGAGGCTTTTCCTTCACATCTGTAGAAAGGGAAAAGTTTCCTCCTCACCTCACTCAAGGGGTTACTGGGAGCATAAGAGACTAATACAGATATGAAAATTATATCAGAGCGCTGTTCCCAATGTAGGTTATCATTTACTCTGGTACCGTATGCTGTGGCTTCCCAGGATGCCACCTGAATTTCTCTCACACATATACAAAGAAATGTGTTGAAATGATTTGGCACTGTAGGATCAACTCTAGACTGCGAATCACAAAGTCGGCTGTTCAAACCCACCAGCGGTTCCTCAGAAACCCTACACAGAGTCGCTATGAGTCAGAACTGACTCGACGGCACTTAATGACAACAACAACATGCCATTTAGCACTTTTTTCCAGGACAAGGAATTTTTTAGGGCTATAAAAACAACAACAACAACAACAATATGATGTGATAATCCCCAAAAGACTGGGTATGACTATTTTAAGGCTGATGACTGAACCAGGCATGTCTGTATTCTGGCTAAGGCTGATTTCACTCTTGTCACAAAGGGGTATCTGTTTTAAAGCAGCAAGCATAGTCCTAGGTCCATAACTGCCATACAGAGATAAACAGGTTTTGGAGTTCTGGTCAGCCATTTCATGTGAAGATATATCATAATAATCAATGTTGGTGTCACTGTGTAGCATTTGGGAGATATGGTCAATATGGCTCTGTTACTGCTGTGGCATCTTCACTGGATGTCCTGCCAGTGAGACTGAGGAGAACCCAACCAGATAGACCTGTGTCACACTGTTCCTTGACCAAATCATTCCCTCCAACTCTTTCTTGAGTCATTAACTCAAGTCAGCAGGTCCTACCTTGCCTCCCGGATGGGGCTAGGAAGACTATAAGATACGATGCCTGGATACATAGGAATTTCTGGCCTAACTAGGAAGAATGAATTCAGGCTCATGAAATCAATTAAGAAAGAATACCGAATGGAGAATAATGAAGTGCTAAATCATATGGTGTGAGTTATTTTTAGAGTTCAGAGAAAGGAGTTTAGAATCAATAGGAAGGATTCATGGGTGCTGTGAGACATGAAAAATGACTAGGCTTGGACTTGCTAAGGAACGGCACAAGGACATTCAAAAGCAGAGTTGCAAACAAACCTAGAGGTACTAGGACCAGACTCAGGCCCTGCTGACTTTCATGGGTCCTTGTGAGGTGTAAGACCTTATGCAAGGTCACCCCATATCCCTGGACTTGCAGTGTCACAGTGAGCTAAGAAACTTCTCATGTTACAGATGAGAAAATGAAAAACTCCTCAACAATGGGACTGTTTTATCCACCTCGTGTGTCTCAAACACCTACAGGATAAGTAGCTTCAAAGGATCAGTTACTTCTAATTCATGGTGACCCCGTGCATGTCAGAGAAGAACCGTGCTCCATAAGGTTTTCATTGGCTGATTGTTTTCAGATGTAGATTATTTTCCTTTAAGGTGCCTCTGTGTGGACTTGAGTTGCCATCCTTTTGCATAGCAGCCAAACAGGTTAACTGTTTCCATTACCCAGAAGTGGTGTACACAAAACTATGTAGCTAATAGACAATGGTTGTTGTTGTTATTAAGTGCCTTTGAGTCAGTTCTGACCCATAGTGACCCTGTATAGGGTTTCTGAGGAGCAGCTGGTGAGCTTGAACCGCCAATCTTATGGTTCAAAACAACTTTGCAGTCCAGCACACAGTGCCACACCAGGACTCCAGTAGGCAATGGTACAGGAGTCATACCCAGGTATTTTAATGCCAACTTTAAGGAGAAAGCTAATCTGCCTAGAGCAGAGATTTCATAGTAAGATGTTGCTGGACGAAGGGGAGGGAAGGTAAGCAAGTGAGTGCAGCGGCTATAGGGTCCAAAAGAGTATGGTCTTGTTATATTTATTTCAAAAGAAAAATCCAAAGATCTTGAGCAAATAGAAGCAGTGGAGGTAGGAAAAAGCCTGTGCTCCCTTTAGACTCCAGGAGAGTCCTGCATGGAAAAGTTCGAGGATTAGTGAGAGGGACAACTCGGTTTCTGCCAGTGAGGCTCCTTGGCCCTGGCACAATACTCAGCAGGCTTGAGTCCTGAGTATATACTACGGTCCAGGGAGGGGAAGAACTGGAGGGCCTTTTCTCTCCTCCTCAGGCATTTAAGGAATATGATGAAGACTCACTCATCCCCAGCAGCCCGGCCACAGAGACCTCAGACAACATCAGCCCAGTGGCCAGCCCAGTCCACACAGGGTGAGTGGGACACATGGGACTCTGCACTGCCCACCCTCCCTGACTCAGAAGGGCAGTGTAGAAGCCCAACATGGCTCTGTCTGTGCTCCTAGGTTTTTGGTGAGCTTCATGGTTGATGCCCGGGGAGGCTCCATGAGAGGAAGTCGCCACAATGGACTGAGAGTGGTGATCCCACCTCGGACCTGTGCTGCCCCCACGCGCATCACCTGCCGCCTGGTCAAACCCCAGAAGCTGAGCACACCGCCTCCCCCGCTGGCTGAGGAGGAGGGCCTGGCCAGCAGGATCATTGCACTAGGGCCCACAGGTGTTCAGTTCTTGAGGTGAGAGATTGCTGGTGCTGGGTGTGCCTGTGCAAGATGTGCCCTTAGCTTGTTCCTGTCCTGCAGGTCCCAATGCTACTGCCCCTGCAACAATGCAGCAAACCACACAGACCTGGGCGGGGAAACAGAAGTGGGAGCTTTGTTCTTCTTTCACCACCTTTCCCCCAAATACACTAGCGAGTTCATATCCTGCTGGAGTTGAGCACCTGCAAATCTTGCTGTGACACTCTAGGTAGAAATGGAGTAGAAGACAGCATTGCTTGAGAGGCTCCCAAGAGGTTAATTATTTCAACACTAAAATAGTCTTGCTAGAAGGTCACCCTTGCAAACGAGATTAATGGCCTTCAGTGGCTGATGCTTCGTCACCTTTTCAGCAGTAAACCAGGGTCCCTTCAATCACTACAGGGAGTAGTGTTCCCGGCAGGTCTCCACCAGGGGCCCAGCCTTCCCACATCTGTCCATTCTCCTGTCCCACCTCCATGCTACCATTCACCCTTTGTAAAGCAGCCTGCTGAGCACTCTCACCTTTTAATGTATGATTCTCAAAGCCGCACTGCAAAGTAAATGGTGCTCTCCCCATTTTATGGATGAGGAAGCTGAGGCTCAGAGGGGTTAATTTTCCTATCTAAACGTGTCAGACAGGTTCCCAGTATCAGGGTCAAGGAGTGTCAAGGGCAGCGCTGTTTTCTGAGCCTTAGACAGATGACTGTATGGCAGTGAGCAGTGTGGAATGAGGTTGAGCCATCCTTCCCTCCAGCCTGAGGGCAACCAAGAAGGCCTGTGGAACATCTCAGGCTCCCAAAGGCTGGCATGTTTCACTCTCAGGCCTGGGTAGTAGGTGGGGCCCCCACTGTGGCTGCAGGGCTCCTCTTACCAGCAGGAGCCAGGCTGCCCTGCCCCGCCTGCTCTTCCATCCCCTCAACAGTGAGCATGCCCGTGCCCCGCCCTCATCATTTTCTCTGACCCTGCTCCAGTCCGGTGATCGTGGAGATCCCCCACTTTGCTTCGCATGGCCGTGGGGACCGAGAACTGGTGGTTCTGAGGAGTGAAAATGGCTCCATATGGAAGGAACATAGGAGCCGCTATGAAGAAAGTTACCTGGACCAGCTCCTCAATGGGATGGATGAAGGTGAGGCAGGGACCCCAGGGCTGACCACTTCCCTCCTCCTGGAACATGGGATTTGAGATTGCACTTCTGAGATGGGTTGTTGGGACTGCCTGGAGTTTGGGGACCCTGAAAGGCTAGAAATGTCCCTATCTGGCTATGCTCCACATGGAACATCTGAGTGAGTGCTTAGCCTTTGCCTGCAACCCTCAGCACCTTCTACTGACCTGGACCCAGTGGTTTCTCTCTCCAGACCAGCAGCCCCTCTCCCCACTGCTGGGTGCCAAGAGGGGTGGGCACATGGAGTCAAGAATGAGGAGATTCAAGTGACACAGAGCGAGCCTGAGCTCAGAGTAACCGGGGTGGGGGGATCTCACTGTGATTGCAGAGCTGGGCAGCCTGGAGGAGCTGGAGAAGAAGAGAGTCTGCCGCATCATCACCACCGACTTCCCCTTGTACTTCGTGATCATGTCCCGGCTCTGCCAGGACTTCGACACCATCGGCCCTGAAGGGGGCTCCCTGAAGAGCAAGTTGGTCCCCCTGGTGCAGGCGACGTTCCCAGAAAATGCTGTCACCAAGAGCGTGAAGTTGGCTTTGCAGGTGACACAGCCTCCCAGACCAGCTGGGATACCCCTCACTTGGAGTACACGGAGGGTGGAAGGCCCTCCGGTCCTCAGGAAGATTGCCCCTTGCTCCCATGATGTGCCCCCACTGCTCCCCTTCACATACCCCAGTGAGAGAGCTGCTCTTCAGGCTCACAAGAAAGTTGGATGAGGTGGAGCTAAGACAAGACATTCCCTGTTAAGTTGCCCAAAGCCCCAGATTATACCACATCACCAGCTTGCTCTGCATGATGGAATTTCCTGGAACCCACTGTCAAGCAGAGCAGAGGTGGTGACATCCTGGGAACAGGGTGCAACAGGGCAAAGGGGAGAAAGAACAGAGAGGAGAGATAGGCAATGACGTCAGACCTCAGTCAGGACCGGTGTCAAGCATGAATAATGCCACTAGGTGTGGAGAGATGGGACCGGTGGAGACCCTGAGAGAAGCCTTTGACTTGCATGTAGACAAGACCCACTCTCCCCTTGGGAATGACTGTGCCTACCTCCTATCCAACCAGCTGCTCTCCTGCTCTGGAACTAAGCATCCTACCTTTAATATTCCCCAGGCCCAGCCTGTACCTGATGAGCTAGTCACCAAACTTCTGGACAATCAGGCCACCTTCAGCCCCATTGTCACCGTGGAGCCACGGCGCCGGAAGTTCCACCGCCCCATAGGGCTTCGGATCCCGCTTCCACCGTCATGGACAGACAACCCTCGGGACAGCGGCGAGGGGGACACCACCAGCCTGCGCCTGCTCTGCAGTGTTATTGGTAAGAGTACCCACCTGCCTCTGTGTCAGCTTCTCTGAGGCAAAGCTCCTTTCCCCACACTGGGGCCAGACAGGAAAGAGGAGGGGAAGTGAGGCATCTCCTTAGTCTTTGTTAGTTTTATCTGGGGTCACATGCTTTTGGAAGAGATGGAAGGATAAGGCGTCTAAATAAAAGTTCACATCCCCATTCTGCACCCTCCTTCAAGCAGAATGAACTTGATGTGAATTCTATGGTCACTATCTCTGCATGGTGGGCATGGTCGTGTCATTTCCATATGTTCTGATGAAAAGGAGTAATATACAGATGGAAAAAAATAGAAGTCCATGCCCCCTGACCTTGAGGGCCATGGGTTACTATACATTGCTAGCTGGAGAAAAGGACAGTGAGAATAAGGTGTGCTCAGAGCCATAGACCAAGCCAGTCCCTGCCAGACGTACCCATCTCTGCCTTTGCATATTCAGTCTTAGTGTTTACTTGTGCATGTTCTGAAGACCAGTTCTTCACCTCGCTTCTGTTCCTGTTGCAGGTGGAACAGATCAAGCCCAGTGGGAAGATATAACAGGCACAACCAAGCTGGTGTATGCCAATGAGTGTGCCAACTTCACCACCAATGTCTCTGCCAGGTGAGATGCTTGCTGTCTCAGGTCCTCAGGCCCCAGAGTATGGGGTCGGTGCTGCCCTTACAGCATAGCTGTTCTCAGGCCCACCCTGACAAGAAGCCTTCCTGAGCCCGCAGATATATTAGATTCACAGATAGATAGCGCCTATCTGGGCGGGAGTGAAACTCTCCACCAGGCATTTAGAAATTTATTTTATAACTAGACCTGCTGCTGTCAATCATCTGGCCCATGGGGTAGTTCTGCTCAATCCTACAGGGTTAGCTATGAGTTGGAATCGACTAGACCATAGTGGGTTTGGCTTTGGTTGGTTTGATTGGAGATCCTGCATGTGTCAGAGTAGAACTGTGCACCACAGGGTTTTCAATGACTGATTTTTCAGAAATCGATCATCAGGTATCTGTGGGTGGATGTGAAGCTCCAACCTTGCAGTTAGCAGCCAAGTGTGTTCACCTTGCACCCCCCACCCCCACCCCAAGGATTCCACTTTAAAATGGAGCCTTCTCTTTTAAGGTTTTGGCTGTCAGACTGTCCTCGTACTGCTGAGGCTGTGAACTTTGCCACTCTGCTGTACAAGGAGCTTACGGCAGTGCCCTACATGGCCAAGTTTGTCATCTTTGCCAAAATGAACGACCCCCGAGAAGGGCGGCTGCGCTGCTACTGCATGACGGATGATAAGGTGGACAAGACTCTGGAGTATCATGAGAACTTTGTCGAGGTGGCCCGGAGCAGGGACATCGAGGTATTGCTCCCGACTCCCTTTGTTCCTGGCCAGGCACAGTCCCTCTCACAAAGGTTCCAGAGCTTGGACAGCAGCACCCTGGTGTACACTGTGACCCAGTGCAGGCAGGGAAACCTTTTCTTTAGAGGAGGGTTTCTAGACTGTCTTGTTGATTCTGTTCTTGAGAAACATCCTGAAGAACATTTAGCAAAAGTGAGGCAAGTTACATATGTGTGTGTGAGCTGAAGTAGTAGAGCCTTTGGTTTGTGATGACAAGGAGCTGACATTTATTGAACTCTGAGGTACCAAACCAGCTAAAGCCAAACCCACTATAGCTTAGTAGATTCCAACTCATACCTAACCCTGTAGGATTAAGCAGAACTACCCCATAGAATTTTCAAAACTGCAAATCTTTACAGAAGCAGACTGCCAGATCTTTTTCCTGTGTAGAGGCTGGCAGTTTCAAACCACCAATCTTTTAGTTAGGTTGTTCTTGGCAGGTTCAAACCACCAATCTTTTAGTTAGGTTGTTGTTGTTGTTGTTGTTGTTAAGTACCACTGAGTAAGTTCTGACCCATGACGACCCTGTATAGGGTTTCTGAGGAGCAGCTGGTGAGCTTGAATTGCCAACCTTGCAATTCAAACGGCTTTGCAGTCTGGCACATTAACCCACAGCACCAGTTTATGTGCTGTGGAGTTGGTTCCAACTCATGGCAATATATATGTAGGGTTTCTAAGGCTGTAAATCTTTATGGGAACAGAAAGTCTCATCTGTCTCCCACGGAGTAGGAGTTTTGAACTGCTGACTATAACATTAGCAGCCCAACTCATAACCACTACACTACCAGAGTCAAGCGCTTTAACCACTGTATCAAGCACCAAGCACTCATAAAATTGCCCAACTTGTATAATTCTCATAACTATGTTCTTTTATTACTCCCAATTTACAGATAAGGAAACTGAGGTTGAGAAAGTTGAAATAACTTGCTGAAGGCCACACAACTAGTAAATGGTATTGAAAGTATATCCAGGTAGTCTACACTTTTAACTGCTATGTTAAGGTTTTGATAGTGTCCACAGAGCTGGACCAGGATGTAAGTAAAGAAATGAGGACTAGATGTGAACCTATCACTGCTCCCGGGACCCCATACTATTAAAACGTGTAATAAGCAGCATCTTCCCAGCTCTGTAGCCTCAGAGTGTATGCTGAGTCTCCTAGAGGAGAGCTGTGGTAGATAGAACCCAAGGTTGGAACGCTGAGCACTGGTTCTAATCCTGTATTGGATGCTAACTAAGCAAGGCACTTAGTCTCTTTGGACCTGCATTTCCTCACTGTCAAAGGAGTTGAGAAACCCTGGTGGTTAATTCTAGGTGGTTAAATATGAGGCTCCTGACCAAAAGGTTGGCAGTTCAAACCTACCAGTCACTCCAAGTGTGAATGATGCGGCAGTCTGCATCTAGAAAAATTTGTTGGTGTTGTTAAATGCTATTGAGTCGGTTTTGATTAGAAGCCTTATGGGGGCAGCTCTAACTCTGTCACATGGAGTCAATGGGAGTTGGCATCAGCTCAACGGTAACAGGTTTGGTTTCAGTTTTTGGTCAAATGAGTTAATGATAACTTCTCAGTAGAAAGCATGTCACACACATCTGGGGTCATTCATATAGGTGAGATTCAAATATATAATCTGTCTGTTGTTGTTGTAAGGTGGCATTGAGTCAGTACCGACTCATAGTGACCCTACGCACAACAGAATGAAACACTGCCTGATCCTGCACCAACCTCACAATCATTGCTACACTTGAGCCCATTACTGCTGCCACTGTGCCAATCTGTCTCATTGGGGATCTTCCCCCTTTTCCCTGACCCTCCACTTTAACAAGCATGATGTCCTTCTCCAGGGTCTGGTCACTCATGATAATATGTCCAAAGTAAGAGACTATGTCTCACTATCTTAGCTTCTAAGAACTATTCTAGTTGTACTTCTTCCAACACAGATTTTTTTGTTCTCTGGGATTCCATGATACTTTTAATATTCTCTTCCAACACCATGGTTCAAATGCATCAATTCTTCCATGGTCTTACTTATTCATTATCCAACTTTCACATGCATATGAGACTATTGGAAATACCATGACTTGGGTCAGGAGCACCTTAGTCCATCGAGGGCTTCTCATAAATAAACATTTTTTGAGTGAGCACGCAAACAGATCCATGATTTTAGACACTGAAGTCTGACATCATAGTGGATTTCTAAAGCACTCTGAGAGCACCCTGACAAACTTGGCAGGGGCATATGGCAATCTTTTAAAGTTAGGAACCATGGCTCATTCATTATAACCTTGGAAATAAAGCATTTTCTACAACAAACAGTAGACTTGCACTGAGCATGCCATCTGAGCTCCAGGTAGCTCTAGTAAGGGAGTGTCTCGGGAAGGGACAGGCCAAAATTGAAAGGTAGGTTATTTGGGTATTTCTATCTGACCAGTTGCATTTGCTTTTCCCTTCCTACAGGTTTTGGAAGGAATGCCCCTATTTGCAGAACTCTCCGGGAACCTGGTACCATTCAAAAAAGCTGCCAAGCAGCGGAGCTTCCACTTCCAGTCCTTTCGTGAGAACCGTTTGGCCATTCCTGTAAAGGTGCCTGCATCCCCTGCTGACCTCTCGTCTTAGTCTGGAACTTTTGGAAGGCAGAAATTTCTAAACCTACCAGCCTGGTGACCTGTAAATCAGCTCCCTGAATCTTTCTTTTGTGTGATTGAGCTTAGGTGCGGGACAGCAGTCGAGAACCAGGAGGGTCCTTATTGTTTCTGCGCAAGGCGATGAAGTACGAGGACACCCAGCACATTCTCTGCCACTTGAACATCACCATGCCCCCTTATACCAAGGTGAGCTGCTGCTCATCCATTGTGGGAGGCCTCTCCACTAGAGATGAGGTCCCCTAAGAATGTCTCAAAACAAACCCCAGCTCTAACACTATCAAAAGGTTGTTCCTGTAGAAAAGCTGCATTTGAATTCCTTCAGGTTTAAAGAGGTTCTTCAGTCTCCTCTGGACATTTGTCTGTGGCTTTTCGGGAAAGCCTGCCAGGTCCTTTCTGCAAAGCTAAGTCCAAGCTTTGGTCATGTCACCCAAAGAGCAAACCATCATTGTCAGAGGATATTCTTGTTGTGGGCCCTGAGCTCTCTAGGATAATAAAAGCTAGAAGAAACCTTAAAGGCCTCACTGAGGCTTAGAAACAGAACCTGAATTGCTCAAGTTTACCTGGCCACTTGGTAGCTTTTTATCAAATCTCTTTTCCATTTACTTACTCATTTCTCTCAGAGTTCGTTGGTTTGTTGTTTGGTTGGTTGGTTGTTTGGTTGGTTGGTTGGTTGGTTGGTTCATTTGTTCGTTAGTTACTTAGTCAGTTAGTTATGTGTCGTGGAGTTGGTTCCAACTCATAGTGAGGCTATAAATCTTTATGGGAACAGAAAGCCTCATCTTTCTCCCATGGAACCACGGGTAGTTTTGAACTGCTGACTGTAAGATTAGCAGCCCAACTTGTAACCACTATGCATAGCTCTCTCAGGGTGCTAGCCCTCAAAAGAAAAGGGAACCCTGGTGTCTTCAGCCCTGCAAACAACCAGCTTTTTGAGCTCAACAAAAGACTCTTGACCAACTATGCTTATTTATAGATACCTGTGAAATTATCAAAGAGCTCTGTTGGCCATGCCAGTTAAGCATTACGCCTTCTAACTACAAGGGCTAGAGTTCAAACCCACTATCTGCTCTATTGGAGAAAGATGAGGCAATCTGCTCCTGTAAAGATTTATAGTCTCAGAAGCCCTAAGGAACAGTTGTACTTTGTCCTATAGGGTTGCTAAGAGTTGGAACTGACTCGATGACATTGCGTTTAGTGGTTTGGAGTAAGACTATCAGAGTCCTATCTGCAGATTAATGCCCTGGACTTTGCAGTTCAAACCTACCAGTTGCTCCTTGGAAACCCTTAGACAGGGTTGCTATGAGTCAACTCGAAGGTTCTTAGCAACATCAACAACAGCCCGATATGATGGACTTTGGAACAGCCATAATGTCACCTTATCTTTTCATTGTTGGTGGTGTGTTTCTGCTATCTTTCTAATCATTAGACTTTCATATTAAACTAGAAAAGAAGCATGGTTACACTCACACGCTTGCGACTCAGATTCTCTTTTCTTTCTGAAGACCACAAGGAACCAACTTCTGTTTTAAAAGAGGGTCTCCTACAGCTTTGGGCAAACATCTGGATGCTTTTCCATGGTCAGGGGCTTAAGACTACTACCTGGGGCCAGTGTCAGAATTGGGTTTTTTGAGCAGAAAATAATTTAAACTTGGTTTTAAATTCATACCCCAGTTCCATGCCTTATTAGTTAGATGACCTTAGGCAATTTAGTTAGCTTCTCAGGGCCTCAGTTTTCTTCATCAATGAAATGGGAATGATAATAATAATACCTACTTCATAGGTCCTAAACAGGACCTCACACATTAAAAATATTACAAAAGATGGCCATTATTATTGATAAAATACAAGAACTTTATCAACATTCCTTTACTTCCACCTCTTTCCATGCTTCTTTCTTTTATTGTGCATACAAATTACAGAGCTACTGTTTACCAAAACAGGGGCATCATTCCCCAACTACATAGTGTAAGGGCTCAAATCCCCATCTTGAACACACAGAAGAGCTCATAACCCAAATCACCCTTTCTTTTCCTTTCTTTCACAGGGTAGCGGAGCCGATGAGAGGAGGTCTTTGACACCACTAGCCCTGAGATACAGCATTCTTAGCGAATCCACTCTGGGTATAAACTTCTTTGTGATGATGACATATGTTCACCCTCTTTCCAAGAATGTTGTGAATGAGATCACTTCCCCTCGCCCTGGCAAAGGTTCTAGGTCCCTTGGGTAGTACAAATGGTTTGAACTTGTCTAGTATCCTGTGGGTTAATGCACTGGACTGCAATGTTGGTTTAAATCGCAAGGTGGCAGTTCAAGGTCACTAGCCGCTCCTCGGAAACCCTATGCAAGGTCGCTATGAGTCAGATCCAACTCAACAGCATTTAACAACAACAACACTAAAGGCTGGCATTTCAAACCCATTCAGTGACATCACAGAAGAAAGCATTGATGATTTGCTACCATAAAGATTATAGCCTAGACACATGGGGTTGCCATAGAGTCAGATTAACTCATTGGCAGTGGGGTTTGGCAAGGACAACCCACTATGAACACCTGTAGAGCCTTTGACTGGCATCCTGCCTGGCCCCTACAGGTTTAGCTCTCAATGCCCACTATGCTGAGGCCCTTCATTTGACCTGGGTACCCACCAGCTGTCTGTTCTTCTCACCTATCTGTATCCGGTCAGGGTTACTAAATGAAATCTTCTGCTTCTCCCCAGGTTCTCTCAGTGGGACAGACCAAGCAGACATGAAAATGAGTATTATATCAGAGCATCTTGGCCTCAGTTGGGCAGGTGAGTCTAGGAATTGGGGGCATTAAAACACTGTGTCTGTTTCATATATGCCTACACCCTCTCCCACTTAAAGAAGCACTGATCAAAGATTTCCAACCCTCTACTCACCCCTCTGTTGTGTATCTGATTTGTGGTGGTCTTGGATAGGTCTGTTACTCAAGCAGGACCTGGGTACCAATGAAAAAGGGATGCTCCTTGATTTCTGCTTGGTTTTTCCCTGGTAGGAAAAGATCATCAACTTTTCGTGTTCTAAGAGACCTTAGGGTTTATCTAGTCTATCACATTTTGTAGGTGGGAAGACTGAGATCCATTAAGGAGCATGAACTTGTGGTATAGCTAGTTAGTGACTGAGCCCAGAGAAACAAACACGCAAGCCCAAACTAAGTCTCCTGGCTGTCTGTTCACTGCCCCCCTACTCACTACATTGCCTTTCCCCAAAGGCTAGCATTGTGGAGGGGAAGGAAGGAATAAAAGGGAGTATCAAAATGTTTCATTAACATCTCTGACTGTAACTGGGGTCTGCCAGAAGTCCCATCAACAATAGGGTTGGATCTTATTTGAAGAGAGGTAGATGGATAAAACAAAGTTAAAGATCAGAATGCTCACAACGTTTTTTATTCAACTGCCGACTATATAACTTAATTATCACTCTCCAACCCCTTGTTTTGGTTCACTTTTTCTGTGAATGGACACTTGCAGGTCAGTCATCCTGCAGAGCACTTAGACACATTTAAAAACCTTAGCAAGAACTTGCTGAAAGAAAGTGTAACACTTATTCAGAAGTTCAAAGACAGTTCGGTCTTTAAACAGTATCTATTGAACTCCTGGTGTGCCTCTGTAGAATAAGCACTGGACTGTGAACTACAAGGTCGGCAGTTCAAACCCACAAGCTGCTACTCAGAAACTCTATACAGGGTCCTGTGAGTTGGAACCCACTCAACTGCACTTAACAACAACAGTTGTTACCTCTTAGAAGTCCCCGGGTGGTGTAAACAATTAGTGCATTCTGTTTCTAACGAAAAGGTTGCTGGTTCAAATCCATCCAGGAAGAGTTTGGAAGGAAAACAATTGAAAATGATTGCTTTCTGAAAGGTCATTGAAAATAATGGGAAACCATATGTAGCACAGCACTACTCTGACATACATGGAGTTAGCATGAGACAGACTCAAGTCATCAGCAACTGGTTACTGCTGCTTCCTGGTGTATGTTTGTGTGTGTGTGTTTGTGCATGCGTGTGCATTGTACATGCCCCTTCGGATTCTTGCTGTTGATTTCCCTCTAATCTTCCTCATTCTTGAAATTAGACTCTGATGCTGTTTTCCCTTCTAAAGCACCTGTGAGGTACAACAATCAAAATAATGGAGGTGGTGGGGGCTAACATTCTGTGTTATTGCCATGCATTTAGATGGTAATGTGTGTTTTCATTTTAAGTGTAAAAATGCCTTTCCCTGAAGAATCATAAATACAGAGACACTGAGTTACCTAAATACATCCCTATTATAACTGATTCTTGACGTGAAAAGCAGCAGCATCCTACATAAATGAGAGTGTAACCCGGACAAACAGCACTGGAGTGGGAATCGGCAGGCTCTGTTTCCCTGTTGGCACTGGAGCTAACTTGTTCTGTGGCCTTGGATGAATTGCTAACCTCATCTCCTATTTAATGTAATGGAGAGCAAGAACACTCATTTATTCATTCATTCAACTATTTATTGAGCAATCCTGCCCCAACATTGTTTTCTGGTGATGCAAAGATGTAAGGGATTGCATTTCATCTAGTATTTCTTGGTAAATGCCAGATCCAAAGGAGAACTGTTCTTGAACTGCCTATACTCCTCTTCCAACACCCCCATCCCCCACCCCTACTCCACAACTACAGCTGAGCTTGAGCAGAGCTGGATTAGATTCACGGCTCATCTCATGTCTGAGCTTGGTACTTTTCTTGCAGAGTTGGCCCGGGAGCTGCAGTTCAGTGTGGAAGACATCAACAGGATCCGTGTGGAAAATCCCAATTCCTTATTGGAACAGAGTGCAGCCTTGTTGAACCTCTGGGTCATCCGTGAAGGAGAAAATATAAAGAGTCAGTACCCTTAAACTGAGGAAGGCTTCTTTTCCAAAGCATGTGCTAGCACCTACTCTACCAATGAAATTCTTCCTTTGAATTCCGTTTGTCATGTTGGCCTTTTGAGAATCAATCTGTATGTCTCTCTCTCTTTCGTTCTCTTTCTCTCTCACACACAGTTTTAGTTTCCTACTGTTGCTATAGAAATATTACTAGTGTTAAAGAACAGAAATTTATTAACTCTGGAGGCTGAAAATCCAAATATAGAGCATGGCTCTAGGACAAGGTCCTTCTTTGTCTGTTTTCATTTCCTTGGTTCTTTCCTTGTTGTTGTTGTTAAGTGCCGTCGAGTCGGTTCCGACCCATAGCGACCCTGTACAGGGTTTCCGAGGGTGTAAATCTTTACGGGAGTAGAAAGCCTCATCTTTCTCCCGCGGAGCGGCTGGTAGTTTCGAACCGCTGACCTTAAGGTTCGCAGCCCGATTCGTAACCACTACGCTACCAGAGCTCCTTGGTTTTGGTGATCTCCATATGACATCTGTCTTATCCTGTTTGAGCTTATGTATCTCTGTGTTGGTGCTGCTCTGTCAGTTAGAAGTGATCAGGTTTAGTCAGGACACACCCTATGCTGACATGGCCTCGTGAACCTAACAAAACAAACCCTATTCTCAAATGGGATTACATCCACAGGGTTAGGATTCCAACACATATTTTTAGGGGACACAATTCAATCCTTGGCACACACACAGTGTACACACACAAACCTCAGCATCACTAGGTCTTCTACCCTATCAAGTTACTGGAGAAGCTTGATGTCCATTTGTCTACTATCCTTGAAATAAGATAAAACTTGCACCAGGACCCCTTGATTACATCATCTATGCTGGGTGTGTGACTTTAAAGTCTTCCTGTTGAATTTCTCCAACAAATGACTACTGTCCTCTCAAGATAGAGTCTAGGTGAGCCCAGTCCATCTGAAGTTCCCTTTCTCTCAGGGGCATTTTTTTCTCCAACGTGGTAAAAAGTTTTGTCTCATACTGTCTTTTTGCCTCTTCCCAACCTAACTCTCAGACCCCCCAAAACACTCAAAGGAAATTGAATGTTTACATTTGCATCCCAAATCAACTGGCAAGGGCCAAGCATTTCAAAAGAACAGAATCCAATCTCACTCTCATTTTAAAAGGACAGAATCTCACCCTCATTTTCTGGTGGTGCTCCTCTTAGATTACAAAAACAAGCTTTCTCTGCCTTAAAATTGGCTACTCTTAGCCTTTGGAAAAGATTTGCCAAAGTGGGGGGGGGGGGGGGGTTGTTGTTTTTTTTAAAAGATCTCTTAAGAGGCAGTTCTTTTTGATTCTGACCAAAGAGAAGTGCCTCCATCTTTTGAAAATATAAATCCTCTCCTTCTCACATTTTCCCCTTCTGGCCAAATTTTCAGAGCCCATGCAACATGCCCTAGCTGCTGCCCCAGCATGATGAGAATTTCCTCCCTAAGTGCCTGTTCTTGTCTGCTCCCTGACAGTGGAGAATCTCTACACAGCCCTAAGGAACATTGACCGCGGTGAGATTATGAACATGTTGGAGGGCTCTGGCAGACAGAGCCGCAATCTGAAAGCAGCGGACCGGCAGCACACCCACCGGGACTACTCCTTGTCGCCCATTCAGATGAATGGTGAGTACCTTCTGGAATGGAGTTCCCTTTACAGGAGATTTTATCCCTTGAGATTTTATCTAACTCCCAGGTGAGGGAGGCAGACTATGAGAAAATTGGCATCTTTGGTAGTACCTCCTCCCTCAGTCACCATGTGGAGAGACACTGGGACCCCAACAGGGCCTGGTGTTACAGGAAAGAGCTTCACTCTGGAGGGCAATGGGCTTGACTCTTGCCCCTACGTGTCTGTGAACACTATGTACAGCTCTGGAAAAGGTGTGGTTCCTCTTGAGGCATCATTGTCCCCATGTGAAAAATAAAGAATTGTGACTGTTTAGGATCTCAGCTGTAAAGGCTCAGTGACTGAGAAGGAAAAGATTTCTCCAAGGCTGGATGCAGATGAGCTGAATGGTGTTTATAAAATCCTTTTGTGGCCACTTATATGAGGGTAGAAGGTTTACTTTTCTTTGACTCCAGTCTCTTTTTTTGTCTCTCTTTCCCTTTTTTAACTTTCCAACTCTTATCTCTCACTCTTTTTGCTGTGGTTCAGCATGGCATGGAGGCTCCAGTGTAACCTAGCTGAGAAGAGGCTCAGGGGACCCCTGACCTCTGTCCCCAGTCCCCCACTACTGCTGCTTCTTGTCACTGAGGACAGCTCTGCTTGAAGCAGCAGTGGAAGCAGCCAGTTGCCTGATAGAGCTGGAGCCTGAGTCCTCCCCACTCCCTGCCCTTCACCTCCTCCCTCACCTGGTCCTACTAGCTCTCTAACCAGAGCAGAGGCCTTACTTCACTATTATTTCACTATGGTGTGGAAAGCATGGGTCTGGGAGTCTGGACAACTGGGTTCTAGTCTCTTTTTTCTACCCAACTCCCTGTGTGACTGAGTTTGTCTCTTCTAAAATTAAGAGGCTGGATCAGATCCGTAAGATTACATACAAAGATTGAAAAAGAATTCTCTGAAACATCTTACTCTGGTGCATAATACGCCTTCCCAGATAGGTACATTGTGATGTTTATGTTCCCCAAGTTCTCAGTTTTAATGAACTTGACAGACCGTGCACAGCGGAAGGAGCGACAGTGGTTGAGTTCTAAGTGGGGCTGGGCTCTGGGCCTCCTTCTGCGGGGAGGTTCCCAGTCCAGTCGATGTCTGTGCATGCAGAGCCCATCACATTTCTTACTCTCCTGCGTCCTGTATTTCCTACAACATGCCATCCACTACCACCGGATGGAGGGTTCATCTTATGTTCGTTATTCCCTGCCTCCTCTCTCTTCTGCCTCTGACCTCATCTTGACTTCTAATTCGTTCATTCTCTTGTTTCCACTGCCTGTTTCCACTGTCTCCACCTTGGCCAGATATCAAGGGCCATCAACTGCCAACAGATGCATGTTACGAAAAAGTCCTAACCCTTTGCCCTCACCCTGTCTCATGGCTGTGTCAGTGGGCATCCGTATGTGTGCGTGCGTGTGCACGGAGGTCTGTAGTTGTGCCTCCTTGTCCTGGTTATACACTGTTCACTGTTCACTCTTCACATCCACCAAAAAAGGTCAGATACAGTGGTCCGTCCCCAGGCACCTGGCTTAAACATATCAGGGATTGCTAAGTACGCCAACTCCTTTTCACAGAAGAGAAAATGGAGGGTAGTTAAGAAATCCTGCAAATTTTGGAAAACCCACGTAATAAGACACTTCTTCTTACATGATAATTGAATATTTGGTTGGGTTTTGTTCTATTTTGTTTTTATTGTAGCAAAATATTTGCCTAACAATATTTGCCAGTTCAACCATTTTGGTTGTGGTTTTTTTTGTGTGTGTGTTTTTTAATGACTTCAGTGCTATTTCAGTAAAGATGAACCAGCAAGTTTTCATTGAGTCTCAGTTATGTAACTACAAGACAACATGCCATTAGAATTACGATGACTATAACCAAGGTAGTTTATGAGTCTTTAATTAGAGATAGGGCTCCCAATTCCCAACAGACCTAGAGACTGCGGCATTTCAACAATGTTATGAATACCACTGTGGGACTGTCTCTGTGTGTTTCATGGCAGGATGAGAGGTGTTCAGTTTCAGTTGATCACTTCATTTGACAAAATATTTTGACCACCAGCTACATGCCAGGCACTGTTCTCACATCAGATCAGTCAGTTCTATATAGTCAAAAAAACTCTGGTTTCTTGAACATTCTAGTAGAAGAGCCAGACAATAGCATAATATGGAGATGGATTATATAATTTGCTCACATGTGATAGGAAGTTTGGAAAATAATCAATCCAGGCAAGGGGGATCAGAAGCACTGGGATTGTGGGGATTAAATAGTGTGTGGTGGAAGTGGGTAGCATTTAAGTAAAGACCTGAAGAAGATAAGGGAGTAAACCACGTCAATATCTACAGAAAGAGCATTCCAGACAGAGTAGGCCAGTACAATGGCCTGAAGATGGGTGGGGACACAGCTGGCATGTTCACAGAGCAGAGGGGCTGAAGCAGAGTGTGGGAGGTAGAAAGGGCAGGAGAGCTCAGAGGGGCAGCAGGAGGCAACTCCTACAGGTTATCATAAAGATAGTGGCTTTTACTGGGAGTGAGAGGGGAAGCTATCAGAGGGTTTGAGCAAAAGATTCACAGGATCTAGCTTAAGATTTCAAAGAATTCTTTTCCCTCCTTTGATCATTTCATACTGTTACAAATTGAATACTTCCATACTTTCTGGTTTCTCTGCCCAACCTCATCAGCCCCTTTTAAGCTCCATACTTAATCCAGGTATCCCAACAGATACAGGCTACATCCCAGAGTGTACCCCACCCACAGCCCAGAGCAGACACTCATAAAGAGATACCCAACTTGGTGCACCCTGCCTTTGTGCGTACCAGAATTGACTTCTGTGTGTTTCCCTGTCCCAAGAAGACCATCCCACAGTTGGGTGCTCTTCTAGTCTGGAACTGAGGAAGAAGCAAGGATCAAAGGTATAAGGGTGGGGAAACAGCAGCCTCCTGCACTGTTGCTGGCTTTGTCTTGGGCAGTGTCACATGATGACATATCATGGTGCCAGCCCAGCCTTGCTAGGCTGATGGTCACAGTCATCACCTTAGCTCCTTTATGTTGTACCTCATTTCTCTGCTTGTCATAGTCTTACTAATGATGCCACAGGGACTAGAAGCATTTGTTGCCTGAGCTTCCTGTGGGTCTGAGAAAAGCAGGTGGTATCAGGAAATTAGAAACCATAGGTCTGTTTTCCTTCCCTTGTCACTCTTCTTGCCATATATACCTGGATTTGCCAGAGCAGAAGGGGGTTTAAATCAAGAAGCCAGTTTGCTTCTCCTGCATGGGAGGGAACTACCTTGGGTGCCCTTGAAATAAACATGAAAAAAAAAGTTGCCTGTAAAGCAA